AGAGTGCTGAGTGGAGACAAAGGTGTGCCACCTGAGCTGGAGGGAGGGGGCAGATGGAGGCACTGGAGATGCAGAAATGCAGCAAGCCAAGGAGTACAGCTCTGTGACCTCCTTCATGGTCCCATAACCTTCTGGAGTCTGGACCTGCAGACTCCAAGGTCCCTAAGAGCCCAAGAGCCTATTAGCATGGGGGTACTGAATGTCCCCGACCCTGGCTGAGTAGACCAAAGAACGAAGGCTCTCCTGTGCCAGGCGTCTCTATTTCTTCTTTATAATCAAGGAGCTTTTCAATTACCGCATTTTCCTCTTTACAGAAAACCTCCCTCAATGTAAGAGGCTTATAATCTCCCATGTGTCCTAGGGGGCACCATTCTGAGACTGTCAGGGTCCCTGGTGAGGAGGCAGCACGTGCCGTAGGGGGCTGGGCACAGAGCTTGGCATGGAGCCTAGCTACTGAGGGGGAAGATTGGACAAAGGCCCCGGAGCTTTGCTTTCCCTGTCCTATTTCAATCCAAACCACTCAGGACTGACCACTCACGCATGGCTGCCTCTGGGCACAAGCCTTGTCTCAGACACTTAATATGTTGTGACTCAGCCACCATCTCTGTGGTCCCGATCACTGAGAAATGAAAGCTGGCTTTAAAAATCTGGCATCCAAGAAGGCCAGAGAACGAAAACATGGGTGGCACCACAGTAAACTCCAAATAATGCACGAGACTGCGGGTGGGGGAGGGAGGAAGAGTCCTAAAATGGGAATGATGCCTCTTGGAAAGAACTCCCCATCTCTGCCCACCCACTCTTTCCCAGTCAGATCAAATGGAAGAAAAACTGAGATAGGGCTTGCCCACCAGAGCAAGTAGAAGAAAACCCCAAAGCAGCAAGTCCTCAAGGTGTGCTGTCCACAGAGCAGCAGGTAAGGTCTAGGAAAGGCCGGCAAGGAGGGTGGGCTTCAGGGGCGGCTTGGAGCAGAGGACAGTTCCACTGTAAGCAGAGCAAGGCAGGATGAAGAGTGGCAGTAGGTGCCAGGGCACATGCATCAGGGAAGGGCCAGAGGCCCCCGTCTGGGCGGGAGGCTGCCAAGCTGGTGCAGCAGACATGGCAGAGACTACTGGGGGACCTACCCTGGGGTTAGAGGTTTTTGGATCATGAATGTGAAGAAGTCCCTGTTTTGAGGACAAAGAAGCCTGAAGGTGGGGACAGTACAGGTCAAACCAAAGTAATAAAAAGAGCTCTCCCCCAAGGGGCCATGGGAAAACTTCTAGCAGATTCCGAAGTAGCTGTTCTTTTTTCCTTACTGAGGATGTACCATGTGGGCCACTGTGGGACACAGTGGTAAGATGGCCAGAGCCCTGCTCTCAGGGAGCTACAACAGTCTAGCACTAATTAGGTTGATTCATTTGTGGGGGATGGAGTGGTTTTAGGTGCAGACATAAAATCCTGCCCGGCCCTAACTCTGGCTTCCAGTACAGGAGATAAACAGTACACTCTAGTTCCAGTACTCAGTCTAGTACGACTTGGAGCCTCCTTCATCCAGAGAACCAGAGACATGCTGTGGATGAGTGAGAAGATGCTACAAAAACTCCAGACAAACCAACCAAAGAGGCAGCTCAGAGACTAATAAAACAAGAGAAGTCCTGAGAGGTAGTCCTGTTTGGTGGCTTTCCAAATGTACTGCCTGGAGCTTCCTCAAGGGAGTAGGTGGGTGTGGGAGGAGGCCCCACTATCTCCTTCCACGGAGTTCATGTTTGACAACTTCTACACATCCCACTTCCTTTCAGAGAGAACGCTGAGGCTCAAAGGGGAACAGACTTGTCCAGGATCATAAAAGGAACTGGTTGCAGTTTAGCATTCCCTTGGTTACAAAACACCAGAGCACCAGGGAAAGGAAAACCCAGATAGAACTGTGCGGAGGCCAGTGTGCCAGCAGGCAACAATCCAACCCAGGCAGTGGCTGCGTCGGCCTCCTGGCCTCCCTGGAGTGCATGCCCCACTTCCTGTGGCTGAGGGCCTGCCTTGCCTGGCAGCACTAATGCAGATTTGGAATTCAAGCAGCCATTCCAGCTGCTGTTATAAGGCTGGCTCCCTCCCTGTCCGAGAGCAATTTCACTTCAAAGGCCCTCCAAGTCCTTGAAAGCAGGGTGTTTTTTTTTTTTTTCAGCATGTTGGGGAGAAACAGATGATGCCCTCTATTTGAGATCAATACAGTAATTATGTTGGACAAGCTCTTAGGGCTAACTTGAGGGGGAATTCACAGCCTCATGAATGAGGAGTGTGAAAGCACATGGAATGAGAAGGGCCAGCCTGCCACCCGCACTTCGCTTGTGGGATGCAGCCCGTTACACAGCAGGATCCCCTTCTGCAGCAACCTTGGTCTGGCCTCTGCTGGGTGAGACACAGCAGAGGCTCAATCTACTACAAGCTGGTGCAGGTCTCAATTCTAAAGTCAAACCAGGCCAGGCACAGTGGCTCACTCCTGTAATCCCAGTACTTTGGGAGGCCAAGGCGGGCAGATCACTTGAGGTCAGGAGTTTGAGACCAGCCTGACCAACATGGTGAAACCCCATCTCTACTAAAAATACAAAAATGCTGGGTGCAGTGGCTCATGCCTGCAATCCCAGCACTTTGGGAGGCCGAGGAGGGCGGATCACAAGGTCAAGAGATCAACACCATCCTGGCCAACATGGTGAAACCCTGTCTCTACTAAAAATACAAAAATGAGCTGGGCATGGTGGCACGTGCCTGTAGTCCCAGCTACTGGGGAGGCTGAGGCAGGAGAATCACTTGAACCCTGGAGGCAGAGGTTGCAGCACTGCACTCCAGCCTGGTGACAGAGCAAGACTTCACCTCAAAAAAAAATAAAATAAAATAAAAAAAATTAGCCAGGCGTGGTGGCAGACATCTGTAATCCCAGCTACTCAGGAGGCTGAGGCACAAGAATCGCTTGGACCCAGGAGGCAGAGGTTGCAGTGAGCCAAGACCGTGCCACTGTACTCCAGCCTGGGCAAGAGAACAAGACTCAGTCTCAAAAAATAAAATAAAATAAAATAAAATAAAGTTAAACCAATGTCACTTTGAAGAGGTCATATTAACTCCTGGCAAGCCACAATTCTGCAACCTCCTCCTTCCTCATATCTAGTGAGTCTCAAGAGATACTTAAACCTTACCATATGCAGATATCTCACATGGTTAGTATCATGTATTTATTTGGTAACTGGTTCTATCATTTGTTGGGGGAGGGGAGACTTAAGAAATACCTGTTTCGTGTACTCTACCCTTGAACGATATTATTCACTAAGTGTCACCAGGTAAATAAATAATGAAAAACACAATTCTCGGACCAGGAAGTGACCTCTGAGCACCAGCCACAGGACTCCACATGGCTTTGCTTCCCGGTGCCCGCAGAGCCCTGCCTCGGCAGCTCGAGACATCTGTTCCTGATATTCTTGGCAATGACGATCAAAACAACTGAAGCTGCCCCTTTGGGGCAGAAACTGCCCATCACTGAGACATAAATCTTCAACATGCATTCTAAGCGTGTTTCAAATACCTTTCAACATGACCCTGCAAGATAAACACCGAATCGAGAAGCCTTGCAGTTTGGCCATTGGCTTCATTATCCTTATGGGACAGAAGGAAAGATTATGCAGCAGGATGGTGGAACACCTGTCCAGCTATCATTTTAGCTGGAAGGGCTTGAAGTAAAACGTAGTTTCTAAAGTTCTCAGAGAAGATGCTCCAGGTAGCCTGGCTATGTGGTTACAAGACCTCCTTTTGAAGACTTGCAGAAGAGATTCCAACAGCATTTCCTCGGAAAGGCAACCGTTTTTCTAACTACAAAGAAAAATCCAAAGCCTTTTGCCTCAACAATATTATTGCTTAATCCTCTGAGTGTAGTAAACAAAAATGGCAAATACTGTTACTTTTAGAGATGAAGAAATTAAGGTAAAGCAAGATTGTCACTTTTCTTAGTTACAAGGTAAATGGTGACATTATCTGTAACACAGGTGGTCCAACTTCTACAACTCCACACTTTCAACACCTGCCTGTATGTTTATGTGCTATCTGGATAGCTAGCGGACTTCATAGCCCAATTAACGTCAGAAGGGGGAAAAAAAATCCAAGGTTTGGGATATATGGGATGGAGAAGTGGTTTTTGTCTTCCAATGAGACTGTCTACCTGGCACACAGGACCTGACACAGAAATGTTGCTCAGGGAAATCAACAAAGTGCTATTTAACGAATGTTTATAATTTGTACTTTAATGAAAAATAAGAGGGTTCCAATAATGTTGATAATCAAATCCCCAGCCAGTATTTCTGCCCATAGAATGTCTAGGAGATGGCTGTGTGTGGGGGGGTGTAGGGGGGAGAGTGATGCCAGCTTTCAGAATGAGAAATGTTGTTGACAAAACCCTGTACTCTGGGGTGGGGGTGGGAGTATGGGACGTTATCATAAATGTGCTTTTTTTTTTTTTTTTTTGTGACAGGGTCTCACTCTGTCGCCCAAGCTGAGTGCAGTGGTGTGATCACAGCTCACCGCAGCCTCGACCTCCTGGGGTCAAGCAATTATCTTGCTTTGGTCTCCTGAGTAGCTGGGGCCACTGGCGTACCTGGCTAGTTTTTGTTTTATTATAGAGATGAAGTCTCACTATGTTGCTCAGGCTGGGAAAATCTTCGTAAAATGCAAACGCTGGCTTTTCATCTGCATGCACTGTATTCGCAGTCCCCTGCAACACTGAACGAGCTGAGGACTAAAGTGCCCGAGAGAAAGGATATGATTCTGCCCCACGATTCTGTAACAGGAAAGACAGGCTTTCCTGCTCATTTCGCTTCAGCAGTTTGTTTAGACAGAGATAAATCATCGCCTGGGTTTTTAAAACAGGTTATTCAACCTGAGCATTAGATTCCAATATTAACCAGAGTCTGATGAGCAGATCTATGACCACATGGACCAACCAAAAGGACATCTAAAATAACTGAAAAATTCACTCTGGATTATGATTCCACAGAAATAAAAGGACACTCATATCTTTTTAATTTGGCCGGAAGGTTAACAGTAATTCTAAACAATAGAGTTCATAAATACACAGAAAGATACTTACTCCCCAGGAAATGAAGACACCCAAATGCAGCCTATTTCAGTTCGTGGTGACAATCTGTACCAGTGTAGTATGTTGTACACATCCGTTTGAGATTAAAGAATGGTCAGAAATATAAAAGGGAAAAGACCCAAGCTTCATTATACCTTGTACAGGAGACTAATCTAATATAAAAAAGTACACATGCACAGCATTAGAACCCCAACACAAAGAGTCTCTGAACTTTTCACAGTCCAGAAGGCAAATGGACTCCATCTATTCGTAATTACAGAAACGAGAATCGGGCTTTAGATTATACCCTTTACCTGTACAGGGAAGTACAAAGTGAGAAGGGTGGCAATGCAAAGCCATTCAATACAAGCATACGTGTCTTTGCAACTCTGCCTACTATGGGTGGGAGAGGCCCCAGTCCAGGATTTCTAAGAGCACAGGAGTGGCCTGTGGATGCAGATTCCGATTCAGTGGGTCTAGGGCCTGATCTGCTGCCTTTGTAATAAAGCTTCATAGTGTCGCTGGAGCCGCTAGGCTGCAGTTACTTTGAGCAGTGCCGGCAGAACAAGGCAAGTTGTCAGAGCAGGAGGAAGACGACCCTGAGCTACTCGCTTGGGGTCTACCCCACCCCTTGGCAGAGGTAATAAAGAAGCCAGTACTCAGAGCAGGTACCAGCCTGAAAGATTTACAAAAGGCTGTTATTTTGTAGCACTGCAGGAGGAAAAAATACCCAAGTAACAAATTTCAAAACTGTTATCAACAGCAAATTGGGGAAAATGTATCAGATTTCTGGGGGCTACTAACATGTTTATGTCAATCCCCGAAAAGAACGTTCTCTGGCCAACAAGCTTCTTTGTAAGGAAAAGGAAGCCGCTTCATCAAGCATTATGTGAACTTGTATAAAAGTCTTTACCTTGAGAAAGAAGAAGTTTGTGTTATACTTTTAGGCTCCTGCATTCATTTCTTTGGAGCTAATAAAACAATGAGATCTAAAAATCAGGATCCATCAGCTCAAGTTCAAGTCCTTCACCTGTGCCAACCTCAAGGCCAGAACAGCTGGTCTCTTGGTTCCGCTCCTAGGATGGCTTCTGAGGGGGGCTATGTGCAGCTCTCACCTTCTCCCACAGGCTCATTAGAGACCCCCTGCCTCCTCAGAGGGCACAGACTGAACACATTAGAAACACAGAGGGGAAACACAAACACGAAGTTAGAATTTTACTAAACAGCCATAATTACTCTGACAAAAGGAGCCATTCAAAAGGGATGCTGCCAAGGTTATTGGGTCTCAAACCACAATCTGCCTTCCCCATCCATTATCTGAGTTCAAATTTTCATGAAAGGGAGAAAACGCCTTGCACAAACCCAAGGCCAAGAAAAGCGTTAACAAGAGAGATGCCTAAGCTAGCATCTCAGCCACAAACTTATACATACGTACTCAACAGAGAAAACTTTTTTTTTTTAAAGGAAAAACTCCAGACTTAAGTTCAATTAAAAAAACCCTTCAATATTCTTAAGAATATTGCTTCGGTTACGTGTTGCTAAGAATGACAATCCTGAGTTGGATGGACAGCACATCCCCATCCATATACTCTTTTCCTTTTTTAAACAATAGGATCGAAGATATCCTCTCAGGGCATTTTGGAAGAATGCTTTCAAAAAGGGAACTGAGGTCCAAGAAACAGTGACATGGAGGACAGGAAGAACAAGTTTTATAGAAACCTTGTGTTATCCAAATGTACTTCAGTCTGATTTACGCTTCTGATAGGTAGGCAGATTTTTTATTTTCAAACGTGCCAGGTAAAATTCCCACTTTTGAATAACAGCAAAACCGGAAAAAGATGCTTTCACACGTAATAAATGTTCCCCATCCTTTCTGAAATGCACCAAAGCAAAAAGCCTCTGAAGTCAAAAAATGAGACATAATTCCTTGCTCACTGCAGGAGACACGCAAGTGCCCCTCCTTTACCCAACACCAAGAGACCGACGGCCGGGCAGTGTAAGGCGGGTGGCGCTGCAGCTGACATGGAGGAGAGTCTAAATCTGAAGACACTTTTCCACACTTAGGACAAGTTCTTCACTTTCATGCTTTATTGAAAGTAGAATATGAATCAAAGACAGGCATTGGTAAGCAGGTTATGTCTCTAAAATTACTTTTCGTTCAGAGCAGAATGTTGTCTCATCTACTTGATACAATCCTTTATGGACCAACGCATCTGGTATGAAACTCGAGCAAGGAAATATAACAGAACTTTATTCCCTCCCACGACTATAAATCTCATATGTAAACATGATTTACTATTACTGCTACTAAACTTGTTCCGTCTTTACTTGCCCCCTCCCACCCACCACCCCCCTTAAATATAAAATTGGAAACATTTCCTTCAAGTCTGATGTCCATCAGTGCAATCTGCTTTATTTGACATAAGGCATTTGGGACAGTCACGTTTGAATCGATTTCTGCCTTTTGGAAGGGGCATGTAATGGTTTAATTCTTAAATCCACCTTTGCTTTAATGCCCTAACATGTCAAACTCCTCTTCCCCTCTGGTCATTTCTTAGCAGTCAGCAAGTATTCAAAGATTAATGTCCAAGAAGACCAGTACCTGGGAAAAGAAACACACGTGGAGGGATAGTTGTGAACTACAGATTAAAAGGTCATGGATTCCATTTACCAAGAACACATCATCAACAGGGAACATCCAATTTAATAAATGAACACAGCAGCACCTTGGTGTGGGAGGATAAGACAAAATACCAGCAGACTCCAGGCTCTACGCTAAATCACATTTCTGTTGAAAGCCATGTGCTTCCTAAGTGTATCTTCACACAAACTAACCAGATTTTATTGATGCTGTCATTTAATGACCGTTTTTCTTTTTTGAGACAGTTTCACTCTTGTTGCCCAGGCTAGAGTGCAATGGTGCAATCTTGGCTCACTGCAACCTTCACCTCCCAGGTTCAAGCAATTCTCCTGTCTCAGCCTCCCAAGTCGCTGGGATTACAGGTGCATGCGCCACCACGCCTGGCTAATTTTTGTATTTTTAGTAGAGACGGGGTTTCACCATGTTGGCCAGACTGGTCTCGAACTCCTGACCTCAAGTGACCCACCTGACTCGACCTCCCAAAGTGCTGGGATTACAGGCGTGAGCCACCATGCCCAGCCAGTGACCATTTTTCATAAAGACATTTTTTGCTTTGTTTTGACCCATCAGGAGTCCCTTTGTAGTGGTAACATGCAGACAACAAAGCTGCAGCAAGAGGAAGACTTTATTTCGGCCAGTAGATTTGTCTCTTATTTGCTTTAGCAAGGAATACCTGGTATGTGATTCAAAGTCATTCCTTAGTAAAATCACAGCCTGCCATGGGCTTCTGGAGTAGCCGGCAAAGAATCAAGATAGCAACAGGAAAATCCGAAAACGTCAAAGGTCTGTATCTGATGACTTCTTGAATATTATCGGTGTGCACAACTACATGGCCCAGATGTAGTATGAGCACCACCGTGTCTCCTCTTGAAGTAATAATCCAACAAATGCCTTAATGCTAAGTGATTAATTAAATCTTTTCACTGAACCTGATAAAATCTGACAAATTCTTGTACCACTAATTCTTAATAGTTACACACAAACTGTTTTGCTCTAGGAGGGGACTTGATAGGAAGAACTGGGAAAAGGTTAAAAATAAATCTCGAAATGCCACTAGCTAATTTCCCAACCTCCCATAAAATGAGAAAGGGAAGGCCAAATGGACATCTGGCAAGAAACAGTTCTCACACACAGGCCCCAGCTGAGGCCCCATCTGAGGCTTGAGTGTTGAAAAAGATAATGAAGAAGCTTGAATAAGAAATGCATTTAACTAAAATTAATTTCAGTCATGAGACTCATATTGGATTAAAATTTAAAAATCAAATTATAGTCTTCGCTTTAATAGAAAATTACAGGATGACTCTGACATTCATGAACAAAACATGACAAATGTAACTTACCTTTAAACCCTTCTTCTGGCATACAAACTGAAAAAAAGAAAAAAAGTAATTCTAAATTGAAAAGATTGTCGTGACAGACAGTAATAAGATCACTTCAATGCTTAAAGACAAAGTTTAAAATAACTTTTGATTATCTTAGTCACCTGTAATAATCATCTTTGAAGTTATGGATGTTATTAATCTCAGAACAATCTTTATTTCTGTTTTTATCCAAGCAATACATATGCATCATTTAAAAAGTCAAATACTGACAGGACAAGGTTTGTAACTGGGGCACACCTTGTGCACGACTCTAGGAGTGGCCTGGGGGGAAGCCACGTAGCTGACTCCTCCGGACTTGTGTCTCTCGGCCTCCTCCTCCCGTTTCCAAGTTCTGGAAGGAGTCACTTTTGACTCTCATAGCAGCTTCTTCTGGTGTTTAGTCTATTTCTAAATAACATGCTTTTCATAATTTTATTTATTTACTTTTTTTTTGAGAGGGAATCTAGCTCTGTCGCCCAGGCTGGAGTGCAACGGCATGATCTCAACTCACTGCAACCAATGCTTCCTGGGTTCAAGCAGTTCTCCTGCCTCAGCCTCCCAAGTAGCTGGGATTACAGGCACCTGCTACCATGCCTGGCTAAATTTTGTATTTTTAGTAGAGACAGGGTTTCACCATGTTGGCCAAGCCGGTGTTGAACTCTTGACCTCAAGTGATCCACCCACCTCGGCCTCCCAAAGTGATTACAGGAGTGGGCCATCATGCCCGGCCTACTTCACAATTTTAGATAAAATCTCATAAATTCTTCAGTGAATGATACAAACAGCCGTTTCACCGCTTACATAGCACCTGCCCCTGACCCAGCCTCCTGATGAAGTGGTGTTTGTTGTTGTTAAGCCAGTCTCCAGGGCTGGCATTACTTTTTACTCCATTAATACTGGTCACAGTAGAATGCCTTCGTGCACCTTGGTTTTATTTCCTATGTGGTATGACTTGGTCTTTCTGGGCTTAGTAACTACTGAATTACTGATGTGTTTCATTTTCTCTGTATTTATCTCCAATTCACATGTAAATTCTTAAAGACTTGTAACCTCTTGAAGACATTCATCATCACTTCCACTTTTCCTTGTGGCATCCCTTCCTGAAGCTCGCGTCCCACCACTCCAATATGGATCAGGTGTCTTCGCTGCCTGCTGAAGAACAGCAGTTCTGAGACTTCCCTTCACCATCTTCTAGGGCATCTTATCCTAGGCTGATCCCCTATTTACTGGGTCCACTGTTGATTTCTTTCTTGATTTAATGTTTAAGAAAAAGAACACATCCTCACACAGTATCTTGGCAGATGGTGCATGACAGATCAATCTTTTGAGGCCTTATATATGTTCAAGGGGCCATCAGGTGTGAGGGTTACAGAATTCTAGATTGGAACTCGCTTTCCCACAGAACTCGTGGGCACTGCTCCATTATCTCGTCTTCCTGACTTCATCCTGTGAATTCGACTGGCTTTCCCTCCCACTTCTAGATGCTTTCCTGACCGTCTTACCCTTAGTTTTTTACTTACTGTATCAAACCCAGGGTGCAATCATTTTTTACATTTCCATGAACTCTTTTCTATGCTCCAAATGTTCCTTTTATATAGTTCCTCTTCCTATTGTTTGCTTTTTTTTTTTTTTTTGGCCATTATTTATAGGTTATTTTCCAGCTTTCTTATGCTTCCTATGCTATTTCCTCGACAAATTTTGGTCCCAGGCTTTCATTCCTCAACTATCTGGCTGCTCATATCTACCTAAGTATGAGGTACTAAAAAGATTTCTGGGCCAGGTGCAGTGGTTCACACCTGTAATCTCAGCAAATTGGGAGGCTGAGGCAGGCAGATCATGAGGTCAGGAGTTCTACAGCAGCCTGGACAACATAGTGAAACCCTGTCCCTACTAAAAATACAAAAATTAGCTGGGCATGGTGGCAGGCGCCTGTAGTCCCAGCTACTCGGGAGGCTGAGGCAGAAGAATCGCTTGAACCCAGGAGGGGGAGATTGCAGTGAGCTGAGATCGCGCCACTGCATTCCAGCTTAGGCAACAGTGAGACTCCATCTCGGGGGGAAAAAAAAAAGATGTCTGAAATCTCTGTTCAGTGGGCAATGGTGGGATTGACTAAAGGGTGCCTAGGACATGAACCAGCTTTAAAAAAAATACACACAAGGCCAGGTTCAATAGCTCATATCTGTAATCCCAGCACTTTGGGATGCCGAGATGGGCGGATCATCTGAGGACAGAAATTTGAGACCAGCCTGGCCAATATAGTGAAACCCCGTCTCTACCAAAAATACAAAAGTTAGCCAGGCATGGTGGCACATGCCTATAGCCCCAGCTGCCCAGGAGGCTGAGCTAGGAGAATCACTTGAACCCCGGAGGCAGAGTGAGCCATACTGCACTCTAGCCTGGGTGACAGAACGAGGCTCCATCTCAAAAAAATAAAAAATAAAAACCAAACATAATATTTGTACATATTTATGGGGAACAGGTGATATTTTGACATATGCATACAATGTATAATGATCACATCAGGGTATTTAGTATATCCATCACCTTGAATATTATTTCGTCTTTTTTGAGACAGGGTCTCAATCTGTCACCCAGGCTTAAGTGTAGTGGCATGATTACAGCCCACTGCAGCCTCCAACTCCTGGGCTCAAGCAATCCACCCACCTCAGCCTCCCAAGTATCTGAGACCACAGGTGCAAGCCACCATGCCTGGCTTTTTAAAATTTGTAGTAGAGACAGGGTCTCACTATGTTGCCCAGGCTGGTCTTGAACTCTTGGGCTCAAGTGATCCACTGCGCCCAGCCTATCATTTCTTTGTGTTGGGAACATTGCATTATCTTTTCTTCTAGCTCTTTTGAAATATACAACATATCACCCTACTGTGCTATCGAACACCAGAACTTATTCCTTCTATCAAATTCTATGTTTGTACCCATTAACAAACCTCCCTTCATACAGCCCCTTTCCCACCCACTCATAACTATCATTCTACAGCCACAAGATCAGCTTTTTTAGCTCCTACGTATGAGAAAATATAGTATTGTCTTTCTGAGCCTGGCTTATTTCACTTAACATAATTTCCTCCAGTTTCATCCATGTTGCTGCAAATGACAGGATTTCATTTTTTTAATCGCTGAATAATAGTATCCCATTGTATGTGTACATATAAATATAACATATCTTATCACTGCATCTACTGATGGACATGTAGGTTGATTCCATACCTTGGCTGTTTTGAACAGTGCTGCAATAAACATGAGACTGCAGATATCCTTTTGATACACTGATTTCTTTTCCTTTGGATAAATACCACTAGTGGGATTGCTGGATCATATGGCAGTTATATTTTTAGTTTTCTGAGAAACTTCCATACTGTTTTCCATAATGGCTGTACTAATTTACATTCTCACCAACAGTGTATAAGAGTTCCCTTTTCTCTGCATCCTAGTTACATGTTATTGTCTTTTTGATAACAGCCATGCTAACTGGGATAAGGTGGTATCTCACTGTGATTCTGATTTGAATTTCCCTGATGATTAGTGATGCTGAGCATCTTTCATACCCCTATTGGCCATGTTTATGTCTTCTTTTGAGAAACATCTATTCAGGTCCATTGCCTACTTTTTAATGAGATTATATTTTCTCCCATTCTACAGGTTGTCTCCTCAACTCTGCTGATTATTTCCTTTGCTGTGCAGAAGCTTTTTAGTTTAATATAGTCCATCTCGTTATTTTTGGTTTTGTTCCCTGTGCTTTGAGGTCTCAGCTAAAATCTCTGTCTAGACCAATGTTTGACAGCATTTCCCCCATATTGAATTCTAGCAATTTCATAGTTTCAAGTCTTACATTTAAGTCTTTAATCCATTTATAGTTGATTTTAACATATAGTGAGAGACGGAGGTCTGGTCTCATTTCTCTGCATATGGATATCCAGTTTTCCCAGCAAAATTTATTGAAGAGGGTGCCCTTTCCCCAATGTATGTTCTTGGTGCTGTTGTCATAAATTAGTTGGCTGTAAATACATGAATTTATGTTTGGATTCTTTATTCTGTTCCATTGTCCTATGTTTTTATACCAATACCATGCTGTTTAGGTTACCATAGCTTTGTAGTATATTTTGAAACCAGGTAGCATGATGCCTCCAGCTTTGTTCTTTTTGTTGAGGATTAAGGTTTGGCTATTCAGGGTCTTTTGTGCTTCCATATGAATTTTAGGATTGTATTTTTCTATTTCTGTGAGGAATGTCATTGGTATTTTGATAGGGACTGCATTTAATCTGTAGATTACTTTGGGTAATATGGTAATTTTAACAATATTAATTTTTCTGATCCATGAGCACAGGATGTCTTTCCATTTGTTTGTGTCTTTCAATTTCTTACATTAGTGTTTTGTAGTTTTCCTTGTAGAGGTGTTTCACCTTCTTGGTTAAATTTATTCCTAGGTATTTAATCCTAATTTTTTTGTAGCTATTATTATTGGAATTGCTTTCTTTTTTTTTTTTTTTTGAGATGAAGTCTCTCTGTCATCCAGGCTAGAGAGTGCAGTGGTGTGATCTTGGCTCACTGCAACCTCCACCCACTGGGTTCAAGCAATTCTCCTGCCTCAGCCTCCCTAATAACTGGGATTACAGGCATGCACTACCATGCCTGGTTAATTTTTGTAATTTCAGTAGAGAAGGGGTTTCACCATGTTGGCCAGGCTGGTCACGAACTCCTGACTTCAACTGATCCACTTGCCTCGCTCTCCCAAAGTGCTGGGATTACAGGCATGAGCCACTGCGCCCAGCCGCTCTCTTGATTTCTTTTTCAGCTAGTTCTTATTGGTGTATAGTAATGCTGCTAATTTTTGTATGTTGATTTTTGTTAGGCGAACATGATAATCACTACACTACAGAAACTCACTTTGTACACTGACTTTTGTGTCCTGCAATTTTACTGAATGTTTATCAGTTGTTGTAAGAGTATTTTCGTGGCCATCTTTAGGTTTTTCTACATATATGACGTAATGTCGGCCTGGCACGGTGGCTCATGCCTGTAATCCTACCATTCTGGGAGGCCCAGGTGGCCGGATCACATGGGGTCAGGAGTTCGAGATCAGCCTGGCCAATATGGGAAATCCTCATCTCTAGTAAAAATACAAAAATTAGCTGGGTGTCATGGCACATGCCTGTAGTCCCATCTACTCAGGAGTCTGGGGCACAAGAATTACTTGAACCCAGGAGGTGGTGGTTGCAGTGAGCTGAGATCGTGCCACTGTACTCCAGCCTGGGCAACAGAGACAGACTCTGTTTAAAAAAAAGAAAAAAAAGCATGTCATCTGCAAAAAGGGACCATTTAATTTCCTCTTGTCCAATTTTGCATGCTTTTTACTTATTTCTCTTGCCTAATTGCTCTTGTTAGGACTTCCAATACTATGTTGAATAAGAGTGGTGAAAATGCCTCTCCTTCTCTATTGTAGTTCTTAGAGGAAAGCCTTTAAGCTTTTTGCCATTAAGTATGATGTCAGCTGTGGGTTTCTCACATATGGCCTTTATTATATTGAGGTATGTTCCTTCTGTACTTAATTTGTTGAGAGTTTTTACCATGAAGGGATGCTGAATTTTATCAAATGCTTTTTCTTTGTCTATTAAGATGATCATATGATTTTTGTCCTTCATTCTGCTGATGTGATGTATTGATTTGCATATGTTGAACCATCCTTGCATCCCTGGGAGAAATCCCACTTGATCATACAGAACCAGACTTTTTACATCTATTGGTTATTTTTTTGACTAGTTTCCCTGGAGAGAAATCCCTTCCCACCTGGGGGAAGGTAAGTAATGGGCTGCCCGAATTTAAGCAAAGGGCTAGGAGATAGTCTCCTATTTGGTACAGGCTTTGTTCCCAACTAGTTTAATTTTTCCAAGTGTGGAAACACATAATTCTGGGTGCCCATCTGAGGTACAGGTGGGGTGGGGAAGTGAAAAGGATGTGAAGGGCAGGGAGTTGTCTAACTGCTTCTTATACAGTTTTCCAAACAAGTATCGTGTTATCTTGTTTTTAGGCTCACAATTCATTCCCACCTTCAGAGGTACCTGGGCCTCTAATTTGTGTGTGCCTGTCTGGGGCACTGCAATTTGACTTAGCTTTGCTTCTTGTTGACCTCCTCCATCGGCAGAGCTCACATTTATTTCAGTTTCCTCAGGTTAGCTTTCCAAGTTTTTGTAGATACCTTTCTCTCCTTTCTATGATCTTTTAAGACCAACAATGTATTCTACTGTAATAACATGTGGAAGCTTTTTTCGAGGTGCAAAGTAAAAGCATTGTACACTAAAGCTTCAATATCTAAAATCCCACCTCCATTTAACACCTAATCAGCAGATTCCTAAAACAAATTCATCTTTACCTTGCATGACATCATCCATTGCAGCATAATCTGCAATTGGTTCATCAGCCTAGAAAACAAATGAAGACAATTCAAAACCACAAGGGAGTAGGAATCTGAAATCTGAAGTATGGCCCATGATTCAACTACTGATATTGCTACAAGACACAAAAGCACAGTCCAGTAGAGAACTCAGTTTGAGCCACAGCCAGCGGTGTCCAGGTTTAACAGTGGATGCCCTGGTGGCTATGGGTCTAGAGTCAACACCTCAGAAATGGTACACTGTGTGTGTGAAGAGGAAAGGCAGAGGGGACTATTTTCCCACTCTTAAAGACACCTTTAGACATGGAAATGTTTAGACACCCTGGGGTTACTAAAGACTGATGTAACCAATGTGAGCTAAGATACTGGTAGTGGTAGTGAGGGGTACAAATAAAAAGTTAGACTGGTCCTCTCAGAATACCAATTAGGTTAAAATTATACTTTTGTCCCACGTCACCAGCAAGAACAAGATACCCATTTCCTTTTCAGGAGGAAGCTTATGATGTCTGAGCTTATGATGAGGTTAGCTGCAAGGATAATGAGGCCAATGACCAGTACAGACTCTAGCTGCCCATGTGAAGTACAAACCGTTCAACAATACAGGCTGTTTCTAGGACGTTAGACAGGATCATTAGGATCTAGCAACTCAGTGTGTTTTCAAAACCATTTCACAGAGCCTATAGTTCCAGGAAATGCAGAATGTTAAACAGAGAGAGGGGTTAGGTGGTGGGATGAGGGGTGTGTGTGCATGGATGGGGTAGATATGGGTCTGCCTCATCACTCCAGGGCCTAACTTTATCACACCAGAACTGGGGCTCCAAGGTTTGAAAAGTATATATTTCACAGTTCAAAATAAAAAACCTGAACAATGATTCTACCACATGATGTGGTGGTATTTGGAACAGTAGGGATTCTTTTGGCCAAGAAACAAAAGAGGCAATGGGAAGCGACTAAATCAGGCCCTTAGAGAGGGTAGAATTGGGTAAATGAGGCTGGTTCAGTGACTTTTCTATTTCTTTCTTTTGAGACAGAGTCTCCCTCTGTTGCCCAGGCTGGAGTGCAGTGGCACGATCTTGGCTCACTGCAACCTCCACCTCACAAGTTCATGCCATTCTCCTGTCTCAGCCTCCCGAGTAGCTGAGATCACAGGCGCCCACCATCACGCCCGGCTAATTTTCTTGCATTTTGGGTACAGATGGGGTTTCACCATGCTGGCCAGGCTGGTCTCGAACTCCTGACCTCATGATCCGCCCGCTTCAACCTCCCAAAGTGTGGGGATTACAGGTGTGAGCTACCATGCCCAGTGGAAGTAGGGGCTTCTAAGACACTGTCAAAGAAAAGTCACTGAGGCCGGGCGCAGTGGCTCACACCTGTAACCCCAGCACTTTGTGAGTCGAGGCGGGCAGATCACCTGAGGTCAGGAGTTCGAGACCAGCTTGGCCAACATGGTGAAACCCTGACTCTACTAAAAATATAAAAAATTGGCCGGGAGTGGTGGCATATGCCTGTAATCCCAGGTACTCGGGAGGCTAAGGCAAGATAACTGCTTAAACCTGGGAGGCGGAGCTTGCAGTGAGCTGAGATGGTGCCACTGCACTCCAGCCTGGGCGACACAGAGAGATTCCATCTCAAAAAAAAAAAAAAGAAGTCCCTACTTTCTATATCTACTAAATCCAAAACCAATTTCCATGCCCTGGACAGAATCCCATTAAGTCATGTATGTGACTGTTGTGACAGAACCTTGTGTTTTTATCCTTGTTTCCTAGCTTGGCTGGCTAGTACTTTTGAACCAAAAGGAAAAGAGGAGATACTTTAATACTATGAAGTATGGTTAAGTAATTCTGCTGAACCGGAAGTTAGGGAAAAGCTTACAGAGGAGGCTGAATCTACTTTTAACTATGAAAAACTATGAAAATCTCAGCAGAGATATATTTTAAAGTATAAAATAAGTTACTATTCACACTGGTCACAAGTCTATCTTCTACCCATCTTTTGCTTTTTTTTTTGTGGGGGCAGCATTTCAAATTAAGTTGCAGACATCAGTATCATTAGTGTGGTTTTAAGAACAGATCCATCCAGTCCAAAAAAGGAAAAAAAAAAAAAAAAAAAGCAGGGGTGGGGATGGGAGGGCATTGGGGAGGGGACACCACAGAAACTTTGTGACCTGAGACCAGATCACTCAGCTTTCCTCTTTGGAATGACAGTCAATCCTCAAGTGTTCAGAGGGCCACAACCCAGTATCACTCCCTTCCTCCCAGTGTGAGAGGAATGAAAACTAGATCTGTATCTGGAGAAGAATGGGGGCCCTTGTGACAGAAAATCAAACGGGAAAAATGAGGCGTGAAGCTTAGCAGTTGGGCAGGTGGGATTTATACCACTGCCCTGCCCTACCAGGGAAAAGGAAAGTAACGATGTACCCTGATCCCACCAAGGCATAGAAATTGATCCAGGTGATCCAGGAAAGGCCAAGGAAAGCCTTCACTTTCACCTTCTCAGGGTACCAGCAGTTGCTGATGCTGTGGCATAACAGCACCTACTGTAACACACAAGAACAAGATATGATGATGTCCTGACCTCCTCTAAGTCTCTTGGGGCTCAGTCAGAGCTAGGCTGAGCTGCAAAAACTCACAGCATTCATTTACCACTGCCCTCTGCTAAAGACCCAACGCATCCTTTAACCACCATTTCACACAGTTTACACATAGTTATATAACATGTAAAACCTTGAGTTCTTTAGCTAAGGAGCTGTTTACTTACCTTTAATAAAATGACAGATTCAGGAATGACGCCAAGGGTGCCTAGGGTGGCACAGTCATCACTTAAAATCTTTCCATCAATTGACAAATTCTGGTCAAAAGGAGCAACTGAAAATGCATGCATGATCTGTGCCAATATAAAAGAGACAAAGTCCGTATAATGCAAAACACTAAGACTTATACCCTATTTAAATAAATTACGTATGGATTCTTAAAAAAACAAAAAGGCTTCAGAGTACAAAACCACTGTTGCTTACAGTCAGCCTACTTGTTATACTCCTACTGAGGCTACCGTCCCATATATCCGGGAACATCCTTAGGAGGTCTGGTAGAGTATTAGGAAACAATTACACACACAGATGCATTTGTTCCTTACCTTACCAGCTTCCCAAGGATGGAGGTGTGGGGAAATAAAACGAGTACAAAGTGGCGCTGGGCCGATGGCTACTCTGGGGCTTGGGCAAGGTCATCACTGTCACCCCACCATTCCCAGGCCCCATATCCTTTCATCAACAAGTCAAGTCCAAATTCTTTCTTCTTTCTTTTTTTTTTTTTTTTTTTTTTTGGTGTGTGCTGAGACAGGGTCTCACTCTGTCACCCAGGCTGGAGTGCAGTGGCACGATTATGGTTCATTGCAGCCTTGAACTCCCAGGCTCAAGGGATCCTCCCACCTAAGCCTTCTGAGTAGCTGAGACTACAGATGTGTGCCACCATGTCTGGCTGATTTTTAATTTTTTTTGTAGACACGAGGTCTTGCTATGTTGACCAGGCTGGTCTCGAACTCTTAGACTCAAGCAACCCTCCCATCTCAGTCTCCTGAATTGCAGAGATTACAGGCATGAGCCACTGCACCTGGCCCAAAATTCTTTCTTAAAACCATCTTTAAATTCTCTCTTTTGTTCTTATTCCTTCAGCAAATGGCTTGGGGTATATAATTCAGCCCTTGGAACTGTCACATATTCTTAGACTGAGTCTTGCCTCTAGGAAGCAAAATATGAATTTCTGAAGGGTAGGGACCATATGCCCCACCCCAGTTCTGGCCAAGTGTTAAAAATTAAATATGGTGGGGTGCAGTGGCTCACGCCTGTAATCCCAACACTTTGGGAGGCCGAGGTGGATGGGTCACCTGAGGTCAGGAGTTTGAGACCAGCCTGACCAATATGGCAAAACCCCGTCTCTACTAAAAATACAAAATTAGCTGGGTGTGGTGGCACATGCCTGTAATCTCAGCTACTCGGGAGGCTGAGGTCGGAGAATTGCCTGAATCCAGGAGATGGAGGTTGTGGTGAGCCAAGATCATGCCATTGCACTCCAGCCTGTACATCAAGAGCAAAACTCCATCTCAAAAAAAAAAAAAAAAAAGTAAATACATTCCAGATGAGTGTGGTGGCTTATGCTTGTGATCCCAGCACTTTGGGAGGCTGAGGCAGGTGGATCACCTGAGGTCAGGAGTTCGAAACCATCCTGGCCAACGTCGCAAAACCCTATCTCTACTAAAAATACAAAAATTAGCTGGGAGTAGTGCCACGTGCCTGTAATCCTAGCTACTTGGGAGGCTGAGGCAGAAGAATCACTTGAACCCAGGAAGCAGAGGTTGCAGTGAGCCGAGATTGCACCACTGCATTCCAGCCTGGGCGAAAGAGCAAGACACTGTCTCAAAAATACATACATACATACATACATTCCAAAATAATGGTATTCATAATATTTAAATGTTTTTACAAATTCAGAAAGGTTTTTTAAATTTTATCATTTCTGGGTCATGTTTACCTCTGGAGGGGAAGCAGAAGTTGGGCTCAGAGAGGCAAACACAGGTAACCTTCAATGACACCTTTAATTCTTAACTCGGTAGACAAGTCCAAGAATATTCATTTTAGTATGCTTTTTAACTTACCCATAAAATGTATGCTATTACATGTATCTTATATTACGCCACCATCCATGATGTCATGGGAAAACCATTCTGCCCTTTCCTGTACTCTATTCTTTGGATGTGGAAAGACAAAACGAGCCTCACAAATCAACCCTGAACTGCGTGTATAACAGGGCCCAAGAGCTTGACAGGCCAGGGTGATGGGGACCAGAAAAGTGATTTTAATAATGGCACCAAAGACAAATAAGAACAAAGATAACAGCACTGGCCTCCTCCCTAACTGCTGGGACAGAATCTTACCTGGATTTTTCAAAAGAACATTAGCACCCAAAAAGCAGGCAGGGAGAACTAACATTGTGGCTAGCAATGAAAAGTGCACTGGCATCATCAATGGTCTTCATGAAGCAATAAGCAGGAAGTACTGATAGGACAGTTCTACCCAAGCCAGCTCAGCATGCAAACATCAAGCAGAGGCATATCCAGCCCTACACCAGCAAATGTTCTGGAACCATGAAGATCGAGCGGAGCTACGGTGGATGTGTGCGATGCTAACTTAACATGGATAACGTCACAGCTGCTGGACTGCAGAAATGCTTGTTCATGCCCCTAAATGCTAAGTGGTTTTGTACTACCCTATGAAACTGGACAAATAGCAGATACCTCTAGACACAAGTGCCACAACGGAGGGGCTGACGTTCACACATTATATTCTGAGAATGGACAAGGACACTGAGGTGCTGTCAACAACTAATGAAGCATTTATTAAGAAGCTACCATGTGTTAAGTACTGTTCTAGGTGCTGATAATATAAAAGTGAATAATCCCGCCCTGGAGGGGTTCCCAGGAGTGAGGTCAAAACAAAGTTGTGAGGATGGTAGCAGAAGGTATGTGCAGGATCTAGCGAGCACAGGGGGACAGTCAGTTCCATGAAAGGGGCCAAGACAGGTTTCACAGACGAGTCACCATGAAAGATGAACACATGCTACTAGTGAGGAGAAGATGGAACAGGCCAACCAAGGCAGGGAGGCCTACGGTAATAATCCTTAAACTCTAAGTGCTAGGAAAATGCCTGAGTATAAAGAACATGATAGAGGTCTGCTTAACGAGTAGGTGCGGTCTGTGGAGCTAACAGGAACCATGAAAACCCTGTTGCTATCAGGGAGTGGCTCTCCTCTGCTTGTGATGGTATGTGGGGCTGAAAAAAGAAAATACAGAAGCAATCGCCTCAGCTGCCAGGCATTTCACCTCTGTGCCAAAATATTCTACTTTCTCAGGCAGGCAATACCACCCACCCACTAAAGATCTATCTTTGGGAAAATGAAATAATACAATTAAACACTGAACATCTTTTGAGAAAGGAGATGAACAAATTGTACTTCATTAACTTCATGGGATCAAAGGTGGATGAATTACTGATTAGACACAGCAAGCTTTGTAAGGTTTCAAGCAACTGTATATGGTAGATATGTCTAGAAACAAACATTTACAGATTTGCAATGGTTGTCATCCTATTAACTTAGAAATGCAGTATCCCCAGAGGAAAGGCTCCATCAAACACTAAAACACAAATTACATGCCTTAAGAAAATCACCCACCACCACCAGCTGCGGATCACGCACATGGCCACCACAAACTCTGATGCTATCCACGCTACCAGGCTCATATCTAGTTGAAGCATCACAAGCTCCCACCACTATGTAGTGAGGGGAAAGACCTTTCACTGCCCTTTCTTTGACTGTTTGGCCCGCGGTAGTCCCTGAAGCAAGAGTGGGAGATGAGAGAGCCATTCAGGAAGAGCACCTCTGAGGGCTGTGTGAACAGCTGCCATCTTCTAGCAGCTCATTCGGGCAGGTAACATGCTCTCAGACGGAAGGGTTATTTCTGCTGACTTCTGGTTTATTCTTCAAAAATTGTAGTCCATAATAAAAGCAGCACAGGCTTTAAAAAATGTCTTTATGCACAGGGGCTCTTTCTGTAATTTAAAGGTTTTGAATGTTCGAGGTTTCCCAATGACAGGCAGAAAGTCAGTGATAGAAACAAGGTTTCTTAGATGTAAAAGGTACAATAACAGAGTGAAGATATTATGCCAACACACTTATTTTCAGAGCCATGGGTTCAACCAAGGGAAATACTGTTGTCAGGACAATCTGGAACGCATAACACCCTCAAAGGAAGCCTGTACTTTTGCCTCGATTACAATGATAAATATCAGCAAAAAGAAAAATGTGTAACCAGTAAACTATGCCACATAAAAGTAGCAAAGGAGGAAATTTGGTCAACTTTTTGGATATCTATCAGTGACTGAAATAGATTAGAGGCCAGATTTTTTCATGGACATCTTGAATTTATCAGTTCCTTCTGCCTAGGGTTTGAGATTTACCACTGGAATGCTTATTTATGGTATGTCAGTATTGATACCAAGAAATAACAATATCATGAAACCATTTCATAATGCCTGCACTATAGCAGTGGAACTGATTTGTAAAGCAATGCATGCTTTGGTGGGGGAATGGAGAGGGCATATCTAAAATAAATCTATATAACAATTTGGAGAACATCACTGCATAAAGAAAGGTAAAGATAATTTTGAAACTCTATCAAGGCCGGGCGTGGTGGCTCACGCCTGTAATCCCAGCACTTTGGGAGGCCAAGGCGGGTGGATAGCGAGGTAAGGAGTTCAAGACCAGTCTGGCCAAGATGGTGAAACCCTGTCTCTACTAAAAATACAAAAATTAGCCAGGTGTGGTGGCATGTACCTGTAATGCCAGCTACTCGGGAGGCTGAGGCAGAGAACTGCTTGAACCCGGGAGGTGGAGGTTGCAGTAAGCCGAGATGGCACCACTGCACTCCAACCTGGCTGACAGAGTGAGGCTCTGTCACACACACACAAAACAACTCTATCAAATAGATTTATCTGCCACCAAAAATACTGTGACAGCCTAGTGAATAAGCAATCACTAATCGCTAATAATAAGCTGCCTTTTGTCTCCCATTAAATTTCACAGCAGTTCCTGGTAACAGGCTCCAATACCTATTAAGTGGTCAAAGAAAAGCACAGAGCACAATAAAGTGAGAGAACAGTTATCCCGGCACAACCTCGACATGTGACAAATTAAGTGGTTCCCAATGTTTCTCATTATTAGAAAGCTATTGCAGAACCAGCCCAAGTTTCCAGAACCCAAAATTCACTTTCATCTTCACAAAAAGATTTTTGGCTATTTTGAAAACTTTAAGTCTTTTGGAAAAAAACACAGATACATACATACATGTAAATACAGGTGGAAAGCAGGAATTCATGAAGGCCCTCTTAAGTCCAGAGCAAACTTGAACAAACATTTTCCTCACCTGAATTTTCAATTCTTTTAACGTCTGATTAGCAGAAACGAGAAGTGCTTTCTCACCACGAACTTTTCTATGTCGCATACTTCGGCGAATAACTTGCTTTTGATAGGCTATATAATTTTGATGGGATATCTTTTGCCGCTTTGTTCCACCGTTGCTCTATAATGAAGATTGGAAATGAAGAAAGCACTGAAATTAACCACAATGTGACCCTTGCTCATGAAGTTTTCAGGCAAACAAAAGCTGTTTCCTTATTGGTCCCTTAACCATTTGAAATTCAATGTAAACAATGAGTAGTGACTAACGAGACTTTCTTAGCAAGCTCACATATAATTGATAGAAGAAAAGAATGAGTAATACACACCTCTAACTGCATGTAAGCAGTTCAAATGTTTGTTACAAGAGAAATTTAAAGTTTGGTGAGGGGGCTCACACCTATAATCCCAGGAGTTCAAGACCAGCCTAGGCAACATATTAAGACCCATCTCCACCAAAAATTAGCCAGGCATGGTGGCATGAGCCTGTAGTCCCAACTACTTAGTGGGTAAGGCAGGAGGATCACCTGAGCCCAGTAGTTCCAGGCTGCAGTGAGCTACAATTGCACCACTGTACTCCAGTATGGTGACAGAGATTCCATCTCTTTTATGAAAAAGAAAAAAGAGAAAGATGACATTTAAAATCAAAATGATTAAGTCTGACCTTACATCAGAAAAACATAACAAATTGAAAAACTTCAATGAACAACCTGAATTTTAAACATTTTCTTCTCTTCTTGAGAATGACATAGAAACTAAGTATAAACTGCCGTGAATTTAAAAATAAAATATAGAACCTTAATTTAAAAAAAAAACAATTTGACTAAAAATAAGACTGTACCACTTTTTCTAATGGCAAAATATACAGCCTCACTCATAAAATATTCTTGCAAAAATGTTATACCAGAATGTAATCAAACATTTACGCCCACCTTTCAATTTATAGAAATTGGAATATAGGGGATATATAAATAAAATAAGTAACATAAGGAAACAATCAGCCAAATACAGAACATGGAACAATCTAAAAGAAATCAAACTGGTCCAAGCTCAACGTCAAGAAGGGAAAGAGCCAGGCATGGTGGCTCATGCCTATAATCCCAACACTCTGGGAGGCTGAGGCGGGCGGATCAACCTGAGGTCGGGAGTTCGAGACCAGCCTAACATGGAGAAACCCCATCCCTACTAAAAATGTAAAATTAGCCGGGTGTGGTGGCTCATGCCTGTAATCCCAGCTACTAGGGAGGCTAAGGCAGGAGAATTGCTTGAACCCGGGAGGCGGAGGTTGCGGTGAGCTGAGATTGCGCCACTGCACTCCAGCCTGGGCAACAAGAGCAAAACTCCGTCTCAAAAAAAGAAGGGAGAGAAAGGGGGTCCGGAGGCAGAGTAACTGTTCCAAATTCTAAGTCTAAAGTGATACAAACAACACATATCCTGATTACATACTGGTTTGAGAGGAAAAAACTGTTCAAGACATATCTGAGTATGGATATTAGAGGACATTAGCGAGTTTTCGTTAGTTTTCTTATTTATAAGCACATTATTAGTATTATGTAGACACTGTCTTTATTTTTAGAGGGGAAATGTCATCATGGCCATGACTACCTAAAGGTGCTATAAAAAGGATGCCCATGGGTATGCATGATATATGCGGTACTAGTCAAGAAAAAAATAATAGATGAGGACCAAATGTCCTCTACAGTACTCCTATAAATCCCTCATCAAGAGGTTAACGATCAAGATTCTTCTGCTTTTTGTACCAAAGGTGGTGGTGGTGGTGGTGGCCGGTGAGGGGGTGAGTGAGAAGCACACGGGAGATTCTTCTGCCAACCAGGCCAGGGAATAAAAGCAGCAGGATTTTTAAGAAAATCTTTTCCTCTGGTTTAATTAAATCTGGATGAGGTAACCTCAAGGCCCTGGCTCTGGTTTCCACAGTTGTCAATGAGCGTCAGCTGTGCATAAGCAGAGCGGTTTAGTGGTCATTATGGACACAGATGCCACGTATTCATTACTCACGAGCTCCACAGTTTGCAAAGCAGAAGGTGATCAAGACCCGAACACAGAAGAGCATTTGTTCAGGGTGCCTACCACGGGCTAGACACTGCCTGAGGCTAGTTCAGCTCTAGCCCTGAATCTACATAGGCAATTGGGTGATTCTAAGATTCACGAGAAAAAGTTAAATGCACATATGGGTTAAAAAAAAATACAATGAAAGCTGATGAAACATTTTTCTCAATCTCAACTGTTGAAAGTAAAGATCAAATTGAACCCAAATTCTACAATCAGGAATATAAAGAAAAATAACTACATTAACATATAATTTTATTTTAGAAGTACAAAACAACCAAAAAACAAAACTCTGAGCATCAAGCAGGACAGATTTTTTTAATAACTCTGATTTTAAATGGGTCTAAAGGCTTTTCCTGGAATTATTTCTTTCTTAATCTGGAGAATTTAAATCCAACTTAACTGACAAAAAAACCAGCCCACTGGTTTTAGAAGGTTTTCAATTACCTAAGTGATACCCAATACAGAGTATTAACCTAAATTTAGATGAACCTAAATTTTTAGATGAAGTCAAAGGAGTTAGGTTTATCTAGCTTAGAGAAAAGAGGAAAGGGGATTTGTTTATCTCCACTAAGGACAAGCAGAAACACATCATTTTTTATTTCAGGGATTTAAAGCAGCAATTACAGAAGCTATCTATGTACTGAGATATGTGATGAAGAAGGTGACATTTTGAAAATGCCGAACATTTTTCAGGGACTATCTATTCTTTTCCAAAGAGGAAGGTTACACTTGAGATTTTTTGTGAGCCAAAAATTTTCTGTGAGAAAGCAAAATGTAAAATATTCTAGAGTATTACAACATCCAAACAAGGAAAAGGAAGACAGAAGAAAATTATGAAGTATAAAAAATAATTATAGTATAAAAAGCAATGTTCCCCAACATTCTCTATCATATTTATAAACGTGAAATCTGTTGTCGTCCGCAACTAAGTAGAGTGATTCCACATCCACTTTGAAAAATTGCTGTGGTCATGACCACAATGAATAAAACTAGATAATCAAAAAAAGTTAGCTTTCTAAAATCTAAATCACTTGAAAATGTAGATGGTTTTTCTAAACAACTCTTAGGGTGAAAAGCAAAGCTTAAAATAACAGAAACTAAAGACAGTAAGAACATCATGTCAAGTTTAACAAACTAATTTACAAAGTTAACCAGAGAACAGAGAATTAGTGACAACAGGCAATAAAAGATTTGATTCCCCCATCCTGGCTAACACAGTGAAACCCCGTCTCTACTTAAAAAAAAAAAAAAAAAAAAAAAAAAAAGGCCTGGCGCGGTGGCTCAAGCTTGTAATCCCAGCACTTTGGGAGGCCGAGACGGGCGGATCACGAGGTCAGGAGATCGAGACCATCCTGGCTAACACAGTGAAACCCCGTCTCTACTTAAAAAAAAAAAAAAAAAAAAAAAAAAAAAAAAAAAATAGCCAGGCGAGATGGCGGGCGCCTGTAGTCCCAGCTGCTCGGGAGGCTGAGGCAGGAGAATGGCGTGAACCCGGGAGGCGGAGCTTGCAGTGAGCCAAGATCACACCACTGTACTCCGGCCTGGACAACAGAGTGAGACTCAGTCTCAAAAAAAAAAAAAAAAGGTTCCCAACTGATTATTAAACCATAATACCAAGTGATAATAACTAAAATATACAGTACTGCCAGACAAAAGAGAATGCAGTCCTGAATCGGGATGGATATGTGCATACATACACATTTTTTTTTAAGGCAGAGTCTTGCTCTGTCGCCCAAGCTGGAGTGCAGTGACGTGATCTTGGCTCACTGTAACCTCCACAATTCTCCTGCCCTGCCTCAGCCTCCTCAGTACCTGGGATAACAGGCCCATGCCACCACACCAAATTTTTGTAATTTTAGTAGAGATGGGGTTTCACTATGTTGGCCAGGCTGGTGTCAAACTCTTGACCTCAAGTGATCCACCCGCCTCAGCCTCCCAAAGTGCTGGAATTACAGGCGAGAGCCACTGTGCCCGGCCATACACACACACTTTTAATATATCAACTAAAAAGCACACAATCGAGTTTGTACAAAATGTGGCTTGAAAGATGGCTTGTATAGACCACAGAGATGTCCCCACCACAGAGACGAGGACATGAAAACAGAGTTGACAACAGGGTAACGGGCAGCAAAGTCATGTCTGCAAACGCTTGTGGAGACATATTAGTACCGAGTCAACTAATACGTCTCAACAAGCATTTGCAGACATGACTTTGCTGCCCTTCTTTACCTTGTTTCTTATACCAAGGAACACAAGATGTATATATGCACACAGAGTTTAATAAGGGCATCACTTACTATAGAAAAATATCCCCTTTAAACTGAAAACCTGCATTCTCATCAAGTGTACAGATTTGGTTAGCACTGAAGCAAAGGGCCCTCCAGTGTTGACTGACTGAAATACAGATTAGGAAGGACAACTTAAAGAGTGGCTGATCACTGTCACAAACTGCATGATTTTGCTTCTTCACAGGTGTTTTGAGGTTATTTTATGAGCTCCAATAAGCCATGGAAAACAAATGCTGACATCCCTTTATACGAGTTGGGAAACCACAAGTAACATTTATTTTGGGCACACCAAGATTCAAATCAAGAGGGCTTTTCAGACTCTCTCAATCAATGTTAAAAATGAAGTAACAGTAACAACGTGCAGACAGGACAACAAGCCCAGATACCTCTGCTCTGTCACAGATACCGCAGATGGCTATTTTAACACTTTCATTCTTTCAGGGAGAACGCTATCTATAATTTCACTACACTATTTTAGCAGTAAAGAAAGAAAACAAACATCTCATCTGTTAAAAATAAAACTCTAAGTAGAGTAGAATATCCATGAGTTTAAAGTACAAAATATCCTCCAATGTGGGGGTCTGACTTTTTGAGAAGCTGAAACTTATCTCCACCAACATCAACCATAGTCCCACGATTTCCTATTCTCAAAAGACAATTTACGGGCCAGGTGTGGTGGCTCACGCCTGTAATCCCAGCACTTTGGAAGGCCAAGGCAGGAGGATCATGAGGTCAGGAGTTCGAGACCAGCCTGGTTGAAACGCCGTCTCTATTAAAGATACAAAAAATTGGCCAGGCGTGGTAGCGCATGCCTGTAATCGCAGCTACTCGGGAGGCTGAGGCAGGAGAATCACTTGAACCTGGGAGGCAGGGGTTGCAGTGAGCTGAGATCACACCACTGCACTCCAGCTGGGCAATAAGAGCAAAACTCTGTCTCAAAAAAAAAAAAAAAAGGAAGAAAGTCCTAACAAAAGAGTCCAGAAAACTTATTTAAATTTATTTTTCTGAGACAGGGTCTCTCATTCTGTTGCCTAGGCTGGAGTACAGTGGCACAATCATAGCTCGCTGCAGCCTGGAACTCCTAGGCCCAAGCAATCCTCCCACCTCAGCCTCCTGAGTAGCTGGGACTGCAAGCATGTGCCACCATGCCCAGCTAATTTTTTATTTCTTGTAGAGATGGGATCTTGCTCTATTGCCCAGACTGGCCTCAAACTCCTGGTCTCAAGTGATCCTCCTGCTTCAGCCTCCTGAAGGGCTGCAATCACAGGTGCGAGACACTGCATCCAGCCCAGAAAACAGTCCATCTTAATGCAAGAATTTAAAGTGTGCTACAATGAAAAATGAAAGACTAACACATCAGCTGATCTGATCGCTTGATTAACATCTTAATTAGAGACTTCATATACTCCATTATTAAGGTTATTGTTTGTAATGAGAAAATCTGAGTTAAATAATTTTTTCATAAAGATTCTGATTGGGCCGGAAACCAAGATATGTGTCGTTTTAGTCTTCTTTTTCAGCTAAAAATTTAATCATCACATTACATTTTAGCCTTTCTTACTTAATAGCAAGAAATATATTCATTCTGGAATCATGTGGTTCATGGCTTTTCATGAGAAATCAGGACGGCTGTAGCATGCCACCAAAACTAAGGAAAGACAAGGATGGGAGCTAAGAACCAATATCCTGGCCGGGTGCAGTGGCTCATGCCTGTAATCTCAGCACTTTGGGAGGCTCAGGTGGGCGGATCACGAGGTTAGGAGTTTGAGACCAGGCTGACCAACACAGTGAAACCCTGTCTCTACTAAAAATACAAAAAATTAGCCCTGTGTGGTGGTGGGCGCCTATAATCCCAGCTACTCAGGAGGCTGGGGCAGGAGAATCATTTAAACCTGCGAGGCGGAGGTTGCGGTGAGCTGAGATCCGTGCCATTGCACTCCAGCACAGGCAACAGTGTGAGACTCTGTATCAAAAAAAAAAAAAAAAAAAAAAAAAAAAAAGATGAGCCAGTTTATTGATCTGGGTATATAGGGTACAGAGAGATGGCCAGGGGCTTCGAGTGGCTGCTCTCGAAGAGAGAACAGCAGAAAGTATAACAATGAAAAGCAGCTTCAACACGTACTTGATTAAAATCTGGATCTTTTTCTCCATCTGGTTTAGCTTCTTCCTTGTCCTCCTCTGTTTCAGAACTACTCACATTCAGCTCTGGAGCCGAATCCTTCATCACCTGAATGTGCCAGGACAACAAAGAGAAGTAGGTCAGACACTAGGAAGGCAGGCTATGGAGGATGTAGGGGCTGGGACCGGCAACCTTTATCAAGAGGAGGAACACCTTTATCATGGTGGGATTATAGACTGGAACGTGGATCAAGAATCAAGCCTTCTCGGTTTTCTATGCTCTTTTAACATGTTGGTTTTTTACCCTATGACTTATTCTTGTAGTATTTAATGTGCTCAACATACATTTAAGAGGTCTCGGCAGAGCAGTTATTACTATCAGTCTTGTACAATGATGTTATTTTGCAGAAGTTCGAAGGTGCTTGACACCTTCCCCAGCACACTGATTGTTCAAGCCTTTTCAAGTTCTCAAACTGAATAGCGGCAGGAGTCACATGCTCTTTAAGAATTGAGAAAATGAAAGATGGAAGAAGCGTTCTCTTGCAGAACACTATGAAATGCTCGTATTAAACTGAACAATGAAACTACAGCTAAATTGGATAGTATTTTATACTAGAGAACTAGAGATTTAAGAAAATTCTACAGGGAGAAACAGAGACATTTATACTCATTAACTTCATTTTCTCGGCAAATTAGGAAATGAAGGCCTTAGTTTAACTTGTAAAGCAGAACCCTTGGCCTCCAGAGCATAATTTGTAAGTTACCCTTCTAAAAAATGTGTTTGGAAACGAGCATCAAATAAAACGTATTCCATTTTGTCTTTAATCCTAGAAACCGTGGAATTAAATAAATAAGATATCTGGAGATCTGGGTCAGGATCTACCCAAGAGCCATCCCTAATATAATAAAAATGCTTGGAAATCCAATCCAAGCAAGTATTAACACCTCCACTTCCCAAATATATCCAATCGATTTCACCTGTCCTTGCAGGTCAATGCAAAAGGCTCTAACTGGCCTCTCTTATTCCTGTTACGCCCTCACAGCAATTCCAAACACTATAGCCAGGGTGATTTTTTTTAAAACTATAAATCAGATCATATCATGGCCTTGCTTGAAACTCTGCAGGGGCTTATAGCTACACTGGGAATAAACCCAATAAACCCGGTCTTGATAAAGGTATGATGTATAAAACCTGATAGCGTATGGTCGCTCATTCTGTATCATGATCCCTTCTTGGAATACATTTCATTCTAGATCAGCAATAGCCACTAGGGTAGCCATTAGCCACATGCAGCTATTTAATTTTAAATCAACTACTAAATTCCTCAGTCACACTAGCCACGTCGAATGCTCCACAGCCACACGTGGCCAGTGACTACTGAAGTGCGCCACACAGATACAGAACCTAGAACCTGTCCATCATCACAGAAAGCTCTATTGGACAGCGCTGTTCTAGGTGCAATGGTTTTCACTCTGTTGCATAAGCACATTAGGCTTATCCTTTTGACCTTCGTTTCCTTTGCCTGGAAAACACTTCCCAGGCTGCATCCCTGACAGTGAGGGTTTGGGTAAAAACAACTTCTCCAAGATGCCTCTCCTGTCTACTCCCTGTCTCACGCTAACCTCCACTTTACCCTGCTAAATTTCCTTCAAAACAATCATTTCTGTGTGAAATCATATGAATTTATAGTTTATTCCTGATCTTTCTCACTAGGTCCCTATAATTTTGAAAGCAGGTACTATACCTGCCTTCTTCATCACTGTATCCTCAGCACCGGGACCATTCCTGGAACACAGCTGACATTCAATAAATATCTATGTATCAATTAATAACAAACTAAATTCTCATACAATCACATAACTGTTCATTTTCAATTACTGTCCAATTTCAATTCTGATGCCAAACAGCTCTGAAGGAACAAAAATGCAGTCCTAGGCAGACCCTCAGTGCAAATACAACAGCAAATCAAGGCAAAGAGCACGCTTGATCATTACTAGTCATCGCCACAAGAGGGACCAGTACCTTTTTATTATCCACAACTTTATGGACATAGATGGTGGCTTGAGTGTATTCACGCAGGTCCCTCTGCTGCTGACACAATAAGCCTTCTCTGCATTCTGGACAGAGTTCTTTGGAAAAAAAAAAAAAAGGGAAAACAGAAGTGGCTGAGGAATCATTGTTAAAGAATCAAAGATCTAAAAACATATATCAAAGTTACTAGTGAATATTCATTAAACTCTTAGTAACATTTTCTTGTTTTGAGACAAGGTTTTGCTGTGTCACCCAGGCTGGGTACAGCGGTATGAACGTAGCTCACTGTAGCCTCAAACTTCTGGGCTCAAGCCATGCGCCTGACTCAGACTCTCAGCGAGTAGCTCAGACTACAGACATGTGCTACATTTTTATTATTTTGTAGAGAGAAGGTCTTGCTATGTTGCTCAGGCTGATCTGAAACTCCTGGCCTTAAGCAATCCTTCCATCTTAGTCTCTCAAAGTATTAGGATTATAGGTGTGAGCTAGTGTGCTGGCCCAAACTCTTAATAATATTTTCTATTACATGCAAACGATAAGGAAATCCACTTACTGTCCATAAAGAAACGTACAAATAATGAGATGATTATAATGAGAGTTTCCACCTGGGGAGTTGGGACCGCCACACGATCTTTAAGCAGACAACACTGACACACCCATTCTTTTTAAAATGTCAGCTCTTAACTACAGAAACCAAAAGCAATATGAAAACTTACTAGGCTCAGAAATATACTGTGTTTCTGAAGGGTTTACATCTCCCACTTCAATTCTCATGATTTTAATTACATGATCCACAACAAAGAGCTTTTGTATCATTTGCCACTCACTGGGCCATATGAGAGCTATACTGTGCAAAAAAAAACACAACATGCCTTAAGACACATGGAAATTAAGAGAATTAACATAATCCATTAGTCTGCTAAACCAAAACCATCAACACTAACATTTAATCCAAAGGAATTAGAGGGAAAAGATACATATCATCAACAAAGAATAGTTTTTTATACAAAGGAATGTTACCACAGCAGCGAAACTAAATGGACTAAAATTACATGAATCAACATGGTTAGATCTCAAAAACATAATTGAGTAAAATAAGTTAGTTGCAGAAGTATAAATACAGTATGATGCCATTTATATAAAAAGTTTTAAATATGCAAGACATTATGTGCATGTATTTTTTTTTTTAACAGAATACTTTCTGAGACAGATAAACTCTATAAATTCACGACAGTGGTTCCTGCGAGAGGAAGGGTGGGAGACAGAGAGAGAAGTAGCAACAGAAGGATAAGCACTGTGGGGCCTTTAATCATACTTGAACCATTTAACTTTTAAACTGACTGGTAACACACATTTGCTTATTGGTATATTTTCCTGAAGTCTGACATTTGCAGTAATAACAATGACAGGAAGAAAGGGAGGGAGGAAACAGAAGAGAGATGGAGAGCAAGAGAGAGAGTAACAGGGAAGGAGGGATGCAGAGAGTGAGGGAGAAAAAGAGGTAGGGAGAAAATGTAGCGAATATATAAACTTTCAAGTCCCTTCAATGATGTTAAAGTACTGAAATATGAATAATAAAACTCTAGCTTAACCCCAACGGCATTTTTATTTATGTGTTCCAATTTCCTTTTCCTGATTTTTCTGACAATGTTGGAAGCATTCTACCTTCTCGTATATAATGATTTTTGGTAAAATCAGGGGAGAAATTCACAGACGAACACCTCTGGAAGTACTTAAAGCATGGAATAAAATTTTGGTTCTAAGACCCTAGAATTCCAGATGACCAGTGCAGTGGCTTTGCTCTGCCACCCTGCTATCTTCCTCCTTTAATTGTCTGAAGCCTGGCAGTGGCACAACGAAACCTACAACCAAGACCATGTTGATTCTGTGATTCTGGAAGAGGTCACAGCGCTGGTCACCAGCACCGGGGGGAGGAGAAAGGGTGGCTGTGTTGTCTCCAAGAGGGACAAGGAAGGAGCAAAAAGACAAATAGCCTTGGCAGCCTCTTGTCTTTCCTGGAGAAGTAGTCTTTCTTTTCTTTTAAAAGCGAGGGGAAACCCACAATTCAGCAAAGGACTACTAAATTCTTAAAATAGACTATGTCAGATGAGAAATTTCCTAAACACACTTTATTAATCATCAGAAAGAGAAAAAAAAAATCACATAAAGAAAAGGAACTCACAGTTTAGAATCTTCTTTGGTCATGGAAGCAAATGTAAACATGAGGCCCCCATGGGGACACAAAAGAGCGCTGTTCCCAACTGATGACACAGGGCTGCATCTTGTTGGCTTTCTACTCAAATAAGACAAGGAGGAGAAATATACCTAATTACTGCATGACGAAAGAGAAGATTTTAAAATAATTATTTCAAAATCAGAGATATATTTAAGAAAATATTAGTAATTAAATGTGTTTCTTAGGCTTATTCATTTAACTTAATAGAAAAGAAAGCTTTCAGTGTGTGCTGGTGAAAGTAACCATGAAGGGTACAACAAACAGAATCCATGAAATCTTAAAAAATACCAGAGTCAAACCGAGTCATAATAACAATAAAGGAAATAAAACATATTTTGTTTCTACCTAACAAATTTCCGCCACTCTTCGACAAAGAACTGAGACACGATGTAGAGGACATCCGTATCCTAGAACACAAAAATCACAAAACAGTATCCGTCAATTTACCGCCTGCTTAACACAAATTCCTTATAATATACTTTAGTTGTCCTTATTCAAGTTTTATAAATAAAATGAAAACACAGTCCTCTACCAAAAAATAGCAGGCTGGAGTAAATCCCCTGGTTAGATAACTAAACAAATGAGAATATGAGAAGTTCTGGGTTGTTCTGAAATAGCTCACTGGGAACTTGGCAAGGGCCTTAAAAAGTAAAGATGCATTCTTTCCTTTGTGGGAATCATTATACCTCTGGCCAGTTACTGAGACACGGTCTGTTTTTATCCTGGAACAAATTTGGGAGAGAAGTCTTTTGCTCGTTTGCAATCATCTTATGTAAGGCTTCATTTTCTTCCCCTTCTCTTTCTAAAATCTGAAAGAGAATGAAGCAATCAACTGTCTCCTGCTGACAGCACATGACTAGCCTCCTCCCTACACCCCCGTCAGAAGTACAATGTTAATTTCCCTGGGAAGTCAACCCAGGAGGTGGCATGCCATTTCCCCAGATGTCAGTAGCATTCAGTACCTTGCACTGTGAACAGCACTCTTTGTAACTTGGAAACTCAGGAGCCTTTGGAAAGTACTGCTGCAGTTTGCTCCAAGCCTCTTTAGAAACAAGCCTTCTTTCATTTTCAGATATGCATAACTCACCTGAGTTGAAAAAAAAAAAAAGCTGAAAAAAAGTCAATATCTATTTCCTATTTCTTAAACTTAAGAAAAATCCATAGGTGCACTTTTCTTGCTTTGCTAAAGTGTGGTATTTCTAGCTCTCTTTTCTTGTTTTCAAAAACTTCTGAATTTCCAATTTCATTTTAATTCTAAAGGAGGTAGCCATTAACCTCAATTTTATGTCCTTAATCTAGGTCCGTGGTTGAAAAAAAAATCATGAGATAAAAACAAATGTACAAAGCTAAAACCGTGCATTTTCTTTCTCCCTGCAAGGAAGGAAGTAGTCAAAAATGGGATTCCAGGAGTCCTGGGACCTCTGTGCCATGGCAGGGGCTGCTTAACAAAATCACGTGTTCTCCCACACTCAAAGGTTATCATTTCCTGCAGACTTTATTGTCTCCCATTTGACTAATCCTGAAATCACACTGCATTAAAATAATATTTTGACAGCTGCGTCCAACCATCACAGGACCATTACCTTAAGTTATCAATTCAAACAAGATAAAGCAATCTACTGTTCAATCTGAAAACCATCTCCAGTCAAGCACCAACTTGTTTGCTATTTGCAATTTATTCTAAAGATCCCCTTCAATCTTCAAAAATCCCAGAAGACATAAAAAAAAAAAAAAAATACTAGTCACTGCCACTCTGCCAGGACCATTCTCCTCTGGCTCTACTTGTGGTTATATTTAGTATTGTTTCAGCTGTTTCAAAGCGGTTAAGTTAGTGAACTTCACTTATCTACCCATATCGGTCATTACCCAGAAAACGATCTTTAAATTTCTAACGTCATATGTTTGTTTCTGCACCCATTGGCAAGGTACTTGTAGATTTATTAAGAGTAATAAAGCCAGGAACTTTCTAAATACGTACTACACTTTCCATAATAAATGAATTTAGAAAGATGAATATAACCAGGCAGAGTACAGCTAGCAAGTAATAAAGCTGGGATACGAAACCGGGTCTATAGGCCAGGCACAGTGGCTTGCTCCTGTAATCCCAGCACTTTGGGAGGCCGAGGCAGGTGGATCACTTGTCAGGAGTTTGAGATCAGCCTGGCCAACATGATGAAACCCTGCCTCTACTAAAAATACCAACATTAGCTGGGTATAGTGGTGCTTGCCTGTAGTCCCAGCTACTCCGGAGGCTGAGGCAAGAGGACTGCTTGAGTCTGGGAGGCAGAGATTGCAGTGGCCTGGGCAACAGAGAGAGACTCCATCTCAAAAACACAAAACAAAACAAAACAACAAAACCAGGTCTAAGGCCGGGTTTGGTGGTTCACACTTGTAATCCTAGCACTTTGGGAGGCCAAGGCGAGCGGATCATGAGATCAGGAGTTCGAGATCAGCCTGGCCAACATGGCGAGACCCTGTCTCTACTCAAAATACAAAAATTAGCCAGGCGTGGTGGCAGCCACCTGTAATCCCAGCTACTCAGGAGGCTGAGGCAGAAGAATTGCTTGAATGAGGAAGGCGGAGGTTGCAGTGAGCCAAGATTGTGCCATTCCACTCCAGCCTGGGCGAGAAGCAAGACTCTGTCTCAAAAAACAAACAAACAAACCCAGGTCTATAGCTCATTCAAACCCCATAATATATTTTAAAATGTATTTTTTTAATTTAATAGGAAATAGGCCAGGGCAGTGGCTCACGCCTGTAATCCCAGCACTTTGGGAGGCTGAGGTGAGAGGATCACAAGGTCAGTAGTTAAAGACCGGCCTGACCAAAATGGTGAAACCCCATCTCTACTAAAAATATGAAAAAAAATTGGCTGGGAGTGGTGGTGCACGCCTGTAATTGCAGCTACGTGGGAGGCTGAGGCTGGGAGAAGCGCTTGAACCCGGGAGGCAGAGGTTGCAGTGAGCTGGGATCACACCATTGCACTCTAGTCTGGGTGACAGAGCAAAACTCCGTCTCAAAAAAAAAAAAAAAACAAGAGTCTCATTCTGTCGCTCAGGCTGGAGTACAGTGGCACGATCATAGCTCACTGGTGCCTCCACCTCCTGGGCTCAAGCAATCCTCCTGCCTTAGCCTCCTGAGTAGCTTGGATAACAGGCACGAGCCACCATGCCTGACTAATATTTTATTTTGTAGAGAGGGAGTCTCTCGAACTTCTGGTTTTAAACAACCCTCCTACCTCAGCCTCCAAAAATGCTGGATTATAAGCATGAGCCACTATGCCTGGTCCCTATAATTTATAATACCTCAAAATGCAACTTAACTTCTACCCCTCACCTCTTCTGGATCTCTGAATAATCCTCAAAAAATTATTTTGCTTTAATAAACTTGTTACCAGAGAAATGAGGTCACAAAGTAAACATGTATTTTCTTTCTGGGTGGGCTGTTAATTTAAATTTCCCGCAAGTCTATGAAAACTTACTCTAACATGCCCATCCTCAGTTAGGGAATTTATTTTTTAAAAACGAAAGAAAAAGATTAATTGGATTATCAAACCTTAACTTAGTAAGTCCTTATGGTGAAGTATAATGTAACTATAAAAAAGATTAAGGTAGATTTCCATGACCTGATTTGGAAAGAACTCCATGGCAATTATAATATTTAGATGGTTTCTTTTTTATGCTTTAAAAAAAAAAGAGATTCTTTGTGTGTGGTATAACTCTATGTGGTTATGAGGAAACAATAATGGGAATGTGCACACACACTTTATTATTAAATGAGCAGAGGAGACCACAGACACTGTGGGTGCGTGGCTTCATTCTGGTATCGGGGTACTTTTAGGTGGTGACTGGCTTTTATGTGGGATGAGTGTTTCTCATATGATTAGGAAAGAACAACCAAAATTCATTTCTGAGATCAGAATAATAGTAAATAATCATTTTACTATAGTCTAGTTGGTAATAAATATATATAGTCCTTCACTCTACTTCTTAGCTGAGTTTCTAAATTTAATTTCCTATTATTCTAATAATTACTACCACAGTAGTTGCTAATATGTAATATTAACTATGAATATTAATACAATTAATGTAATTAATAATGAAATAAATATACTTGAATATTGTCTATGACCTCAAAATAGTTAAATAAATTTGGGTTGCTCTTTTCACTGTGACATATAAATTGTTAGAAATTAAACTTGTATCCTACAATGAATCATGTTATTTCTTAAATTTAAAGAGAAAGCCAATCAACTAAATCCATTCTATGAGCAATATCTCCCAAAACAAGATCAAAGCAGTCAAGAGAGATTCAATTCACTAAACATAACTGGACATTCTAAAACTCAAAGATTCTTCTGGTAAAAAGAGAAATCTAGTTAACAATGAATTTAGAGATACTGGATAAATGACCCTCAACCCCTCACCCTAAATCTAGTTCAAACTGCATATAATACTTTGGGCTTCGGGACATCTCAAGAAGTACTCTCAAAATAACAAAACACAACACAGCCCATCATCTAAGCAACCTAGGTGTAATAAACAAGGTAAGCTATAGGAAGGTTATTCACTTAAAGGAATACAAAGTAAAATGGATAAGAAAACTTGATACATATAATATCTGTATTATAAAGCTTCTTATATAATATCTGCAACAAATACTGAACTCTAGGATAGTAAATCTTCCAATGGAATATAATCCAATGATTAATTCACACAAAACCTATGATATATTAAATATATATAATACATTAGAAATATACAGGAATTTTGTTATAAAAATATCAAAATTTAAGTCAAGGACTTTCCAGGTTAAAATGATGTTTAAAACTGCATTTACTTTAAGAGCCTCATGAAACATCATTAAATCACAATAAAAAATAAAAAATAAAAAATAAACTTTTATTTTTAGAGACAGGATCTCACTCTATCACCCAGGCTGGAGTTCAGTGGTATGATCATAGCTCACTGTAACCACGATCTAATGGGCTCAAGCAATGCTCCTGCCTCCGTTTCCTGGGTATCTAGGACTACAGCCATGTGCCACTTTGCCTGGCTAATTTTTACTTTATTTCTTAATAGAGATGTGGTCTCACTATGTTGCCCAGGCTGCTCTCAAATGCCTCAGCCTCTTAAAGTGCTGTGATTATAGATGTGAACCACCACACCAAAGGATTTATATTTATATAAAAAGACATACAGCTATAAAGATGAAAACAACAGAGGGAACAACAGGGATAAAAATTATAAGGGTTTAAAAGAAGGTGAATGAGACACAATAAAAATTAACTCTAAGTTGACAAAAGTCAAGAAGTAGCCAGATTTGCTACACTGCAGTACTGTCCCCACAGACGCAAGAACTGGGGGCTCATGAAGTAAAGGTAGGGATTTACAAAAAATGAGAGAAGGGATGGAAAGTCTACTTAAGAGGTATGTAGTCAGATGCTCAGTCTCCTTCTCTGCCCTTGAGATCACTGTCCCCTCCAGCCACCAAAGACTACATGCTTATTTTCAGACAACAAAACCTAACCTGCACAGGGGACACAAAACACAGATACAAATGAAGCGACAAGCTGAGACAGGGAGAATTAAACCTTTCCACTCTTGAATGTGGGGACTCCAAAGTCCTCTTCTTTCTACAGCTTCTGAAGAGTGACAGCAGGTCTGAATTTTCTAGGCAGGCGAATGAAAGATACTTATGGAAAAACCTTGGTGGCCCAATAGCAGACAGCGCCATTGGGAATTTCCCAGTGAAACAAGCCGGCTGGGGCACCGAACTAGTGAAGTTCAGTCACCAAGCCCCGCCAAGACACACCTGGCTTCCACAGAGTGCCCAGCATAATAAATGAACCCGTACAACACTGGGGACAAAGATCTTAGGAGCCTACCAGAAATTGAAGTGGAGAAAAATCACCTACAAACAATGGCTTTGGACTTCTGAATGGTACGTTCAAACCACTATCACAAGTCTCTTTAGTTTTCACGGAAAAAATATTTCCAACAGACAGTTAAATACCAGGCAAAACTATCCATTGCAGTGTGGTGATCCTAGACAGGTGACTCTTGCCTCTCTGTGCCTCAGTTTACTTACTCATCAGTAGAATGGATGCGATAATATACTGATAGCACAGGGTTGTTAGATTAAGTGAGTTGCCCAAGCATGGTGGCTGACGCCTGTAATCCCAGCACTTTGGGAGGCCAAGATAGGCAGATCAACTGAGGTCAGGAGTTCAAGACCAGTCTGGCCAACATGGCAAAACCCCATCTCTACTAAAAACCAAAAATTAACTGGGAGTGGTGGCACATGCCTACAGTTCCATGTACTCAGGAAGCTGGGGCAGGAGAATCATTTGAACCTGGAAGGTGGAGGTTGCAGTGAGCCGAGATCGCACCACTGCGCTCCAACCTGGGCGACACAGTGAGACTCCATCTCAAAAAAAAAAACAAAAAACAAAAAACCAGATTAAGTGAGTTAATATTTATAAATGTGGAAAACTACAGGCAAATGGTAAACATTCAATAATTGCCCACTATAATCTCCTCCTACCAGCATCATCAGCACACCTCCAGAAAGAGGTTTTAACAGAAACTTAATGAGTAAAGTGGATTTCTAAGTAAGGCTAGGTATCCTATACCAGAAAAATTTTACCCTGGACACATGGTATGTTGACAGATAACATAACACAAAAACAACGGTAGAAAACTATCCTTTTTTTTTTTTGAGACAGGGTCTCGCTCTATTGCCCAGACTGGAGTGCAATGGCGCCATCTTGGCTCACTGCAACCTCCGCCTCCTGGGTTCAAGCAATTCTCCTGGGTCAGCCTCCCGAGTAGTTGGGATTACCGGCGCCTGCCATGGTTTTTGTATTTTTGCCCAAAATAATTACAAATTTTGTAAATTTGTCCAGCTAATTTTTGTATTTTTGTAGAGATGGGGTTTCACCATGTTGGCCAGGCTGGTCTCAAACTCCTGACCTCAAGTGATCCGCCCGCCTCAGCCTCCCGAAGTGCTGGGATTACAGGCATGAGCCATCATGCCCGGCCAAACTATCCTTTAAAATATTAGAGAACAAAGTATGGCACCAAAACACTAGAGTTACAGATCAAGATAACGGCCTAAAAAAATCACGCTTGTATACAATTTCTTCCTCCCTCCCTCCCTCCCTTCCTTTCTTTCTCTTCCTCACTCTCTCAGTTTTGTTTTGTTTTGAGACAAGGTCTTGCTTGGTCGCCCAGGCTGGAGTACAGAGGCATGTGAATATGGCTCACTGCAGCCTCGACCTCCTGGGCTCAGGTAATCCTCTCAATGTAGCCTCTCATGTAGCTGGGAACACAGGTGCACACCATCACCACCCCTGGCTAATTTCTTGATGTTTCTGTAGCGATGGGGTCTTGCCATGATGCCCAGGATAGTCTCGAACTCTTGGACTCAAGTGATCCTCCCGCCTTGGCTTCCCAAAGTGCTGGGATTACAGGTGTGAGCCACTGCCCCCGGCCTCTTATGTACAATTTCTGATAGGCTAGAGAGTGGAGTATGTGTCCTGAAATGACATTCAGCTTTGCCATGCTTTGTAGTCAAAACTGTCGGTACTGAAATGACATGATAAAAGGTGGGAAGGCAGAACAAAGGTCAGTGAGCTAAGGAGCACGAGGACAATCTAAGTTCTAGCACTGTTTCAAGTGGTAGCACCAAGCATGAAACAATACTCTGCCACGGATGCTTCAACTCTCAATATGGAGACACCAATCCCATGTGTCCACAACTATGCTGTGAAGGTTAGAAAAGGTGATAAGAGAGCATCACTGGAAAAATACACCTCCTTCTGGCTATTCACCCGAACTTCCTTCCCCTGTTTTATTTCCTCATGCTATTCAGCACTCATGAGGTCAGCTCACCTTCTTCTGCTGTGCACCCGTAGTGTAAAAGACCAACCAGTAGACAGATAGGGTGATACGATGGAAAGAACAGAGGAATTTGGGACTCACAGAGACCAAGACCCAAACACACACCCCAGGATGGCTGCTTGCTAGTTGTGTGGCCTGTAAATGGGAATGCCACTCACCTAGTGGCCTAAAGTGCAGTGAGATAATCCAGAATGGTAGTACCACTCTAGTGACAAACACCATCGCTAATGTCATCAACAGCACTTCATATAAAAGTGCCAGCGTGCATCAGGGATAAAAGTGAGACATTATCCACTGGTTCACAGTCAACTGATGAAACAAGAACTATAGTTAAGAATTTATTGGGATCAACAGGAATCCAAAATATTAGCAATAAATTAGCACATAACAAGAAACGCATGAACATGGGTTAACAAAACAAACCACTGACAAGCCAACTTTTCTGTGTCAAATTTATTGTCCTATTTATTTTATTTTAATGAGATGGGGTAACGCACTGTCGTCCAGGCTGGAGTGCAGCATCGTGATCATAGCTCACTCTAGCCTCAGACTCCTGGGTCAAGTGATCCTCTCACCCTTCTGAGAAACTGGGACTGCAGGCACACACCACCAAACCCACTTAACATTTTTTTAGAGACAGGGTCTTGCTGTGTTGCCCGGACTAGTCTCAAACTCCTGGGCTCAAGCAATCCTCCTACCTGATCCTTCCTAGTAGCTGGGATTATAGGTGCAAGCTACGGCACTCAGTGCTCAGACTTTTTGAAGGTGGGAAGGGGAACTTATGAAGTAGAAAGCTTTGAGAAACAGACACCTGCTTGACTTTCAGAGTGCTATTAGAATAGAAAATTGTGTCTAATATATGATGAATCCCTTGCACAATCATCTTGTAAAAGCTACTTATCAGAAGTAAGCATTCACCAAGACCAAGTAAACAAATACATGAACAAATACATAGGATTAAATGAGGATTTAGAATTTGGCTTTTTAAAAAACTATCTAGCACATAGTACACAGCAGCTGGTCAATACACAAACAAGAAACTAAACCAAGTCGAGACCAGTGGCTCATGCCTATAATCTCACCACTATGGGAGGCAAAGGTGGGAAGCAAATTTAAAAATTAGCTGGGTGTGATGGTGCATGCCTACGGTCCCAGCTACTCAGGAGGCCAAGGCAGAAGGATCACTTGAGCCCAGGATGTTCATGCTGCACTAAGCTAGGACAGCGATAGAGAGAGATCATGTTGCACAGATAAAATAAATAAATAAAAAACCACAGATAGCCCTAACAAGATGAAGAAGAAGAAACATATGAGCAGTATTCTCAAAGTGTTTAACTTGGACAATGACAGTCATGGGAAACAACTGAAATTCAATACTTCAAATTCAAAAGCACGTCAATGGGACAAGTGACAAGAAGTTTCTTTTCCAATGATTTCCTCTAAATATGGGGAAATTCTACTTAAAAAAATTTTTTTTTACCAGGTAAGATGTGAGAGACACTGGCATGAAAGCCAGGCAGTAGAAGCTAAAAGTAAAAAAGGATAATAAAACAGAACTCATTTATGCTTCTAGCTTACCATGTGGACACAGAATATCTTCATTAAAATTTAATTCCTCCTCTTCTTTTCTTTCTTCCTTTGATTCATCTAATCAAAAGAAATACAAATGATATCTGCTGTGGTTATTGTGTACTTAAAGTTCAAAGTAGCAGATATACTACTCTGCACAATTTGGAACAAAGAAAACTTTAAAACTCTGAAAATTAGACCCATGTGATTCCTACACAGTTCTGCTAAAAAGTGTTATATTTCTTTCCCTTAAAAGGAAAGAGGAACATCTCAATGACAGTTAACTTTTAAAGATTTAGGTTATGCAAGAAAATGTGCCTTTTTAAATTGAAAAAATGGAATTCTTCTATTAATTCTAGTCAAGGTATTGAGAATACTGTGTCATGAACCAAGTTAATCACCTACATTGTCATGTCATGGCATGTCATTTTCACCTACCTACACTTTTTGGGGGTGAACACAAAGCATTAAAGACAAATGAAATAAGGACTTAACCTTTACCATCAAACATAGTCGTCCCCACTGATCCGTCCAGGGATATGTTCCAAGACCCTCCATAGAAGCCTAAAACCTCATATACTACCAAACTCCATAAACATCCATTGGCATATTTCTGTTCAAGTCTTCCACCCACAAATTTAATGCTTTTTCCCTCTTAACTCACACTGTGACCATAACTTGTAGCTTGTAGTGTGACAGCAAAACTAGCATGAATTTTTTTCCTTCTTAATTTCACAGATAGATTTGTTCCTACAGATCTTAGCAAGCTCACCATACAATTTTTTTTCTTTCCTTATTTAAATCAAGAACTTACTTCCACCTTTCCACTTAAAGGAAGCACTTTGTGGCTTCTTTTTGACATACCTGAATTACCAACATTACCACTCTTCCACTTTGAGATCATTAAAGTAAAATAAGGGTGACTTGAACACTGGCACTCCTACAGTCAATCTGAGCACCAAGAGGATTGCTAGGTGACCAGTGGGTAGCATGTATAGCATGGATAAGTTGGACACAGGGAAAACTCACGTCGCAGGCCAACCAACCAACCAACCAAAAAAACCCCCCACAAAAATCAAGTAAAAAAATGGGCAAAGGAAGGATATGACCAGATAATTCTGTCTCCTCTTTTTCTCTCTGTCACACATACAAATAACTTCTCAAGCCTAAGAAGATGGTCAACCTCAATGACATTTTGAAAAACGTTAAGCCTCAACACTGCTAAGTCTAACTTCCTGTATCGGGCTGATAAAAATTGATGTGACTGCCAGACATGGTGGCTCATGCCTGTAATCCCAGCACTTTGGAAGGCTGAGGCGGGCAGATTAAGGTCAGGAGTTCAAGACCAGCCTGGTCAACATGGCAAAACCCCCTCTCTGCTAAAAATACAAAAATTAGCCCGGCGTGCTGGTGCGTGCCTGTAATCCCAGCTACTCCGGAGGCTGAGGCAAGAGAATCACTTGAGCCTGGGAGGTGGAGGTGGGAGTGAGCCAAGATTGCACCACTGCACTCCAGACTGGGCGACAGAGGGAGACTCCATCTCAAAAAAACAAAACAAGAAAAAACAAAACTGATGTGAATGATGTATTCTTTATGTTGACAAAAGCAAGCAAAATGAACCCCCTAATATGAATATATTGAAGAAAATTTACCAATATGTCAGTATGTGGCAATTATAAATATTTGTAACTCTCTGATCCAGAGATTTCTAGGAATTTATTTCTCAGAAATAATCTGAAAATTTTGTAATGATGTAAGTACAGGACACAAAAGGACCCTCACTGCATCTGTGTGTACACACTCACGTAAAAAATTAAAATAGAATCAGATAAACATAATGGATCCACAAAACAAAATGCAATCAATCAATAAAAAGGGCTGAATGTTTTGACATTCAGTAAGTCATATGTACAGCTGTGCCCAAATGAGTTGCATTATAAAAAGCCACTATTTACAGTGATTGTATCTGGTAGGAAGGCTTTGAAGTTCTACTTTGTCACATTTGTGCTGCTTGAAGCTTTTGAAATTTTTTAATGGGGGAAGGAAAATAGAGGCATATTACTCTGAAAGCAACATGAAAAATACTTTTAAGCTATGCCAACATGAAGGCACTTTCTACTACGGCATCCAATTTTACTAAAAATGAAGGGACACTGATATATAAAGAGGCTTTTTTTTTGGAGACGGAGTGATGCTCTGTCTCCCAGGCTGGAGTGCAGTGGCACGATCTCGGTTCACTGCAACCTCCTCCTCCTGGGTTCAAATGATTCTCCTGCCTCAGCCTCCTGAGTAGCTGGGATTACAGGTGCATGCCAACACGCCTGGCTGATTTTTGTATTTTTAGTAGAGACAGGGTTTCACCATGTTGGTCAGGCTGGTCTCGAACTCATCACCTCGTGATCCACCCACCTCGGCCTCCCAAAATAAAGAGGTTTTAAAAAGCAGTAAATAAATACTTAACACTAAGTCACATGTTATCACTAAAATTATAGTATGTTTTTTCAAATGACAGGATAATAAAACTCAAATTGATGTTAAGTTCATGAATTATATAGCACAATAAAATATTTTAATCAAAAGTAAAAACTCGGCTGGGTGCAGTGGCTCACATCTGTAATCCTAGCACTTTGGGAGGCCAAGGTGGGCGGATCACTTGAGCTCAGGAATTCAAGACCAGCTGGCCAACATGGTGAAACCCCATCTCTACTAAAATACAAAAATTAGCCGGGCATGGTGGCGCATGTGTAATGCCAGCTACTCAGGAGGCTGAGGCGGGAAAGTCACTTGAACGGGGGGTGGTGGGGAATGTTGGCAGAGGTTGCAGTGAGCCAAAATCACGCCACTGCACTCTAGCCTGGGGGACAGAGTGAGATTCCGTCTCAAAAAAGTAAAAAAAAAAGTCTCAAAAAAAGTAAAAACTCTTCAAGTTTGAAAATATTAATCACAGCTCAAGGAGTTTAAAATACTGGGTTGGTTTTCTCAAAAAGTAAGGTGGTGAGATGGGAAGATCAATACCAAATAAAATAAATATAATATAAAGTGATAGAAATGGGCCAGCCTCAGTGGTTCACATCTATAATCCCTGCACTTTGGGAAGCCAAGGTGGGAGGATCGGTTGAGCACAAGAGGGAGACCAGCCTGGGCAACATAGTGAAGCCGTATCTCTAGAATTCAAAAGAAATAAAAACTGGTCAGGTGCGATGGCTAATGCCTGTAATCCCAACATTTTGGGAGGCTGAGGCAGGTGGATTACTGGAGGTCAGAAGTTCAAGACCAGCCTGGCCAACATGGTGAAACCCTGTCTCTTCTAAAAATACAAAATTAGCTGGGCATGGTGGTGTGCACCTGTAATCCCAGCTACTCGGGAGGCTGAGGCAGGAGAGCCGCTTGAACCTGGGAGGCAGAGGTTGCAGGGAGCCAAGATCGCGTCATTGCACTCCAGCCTGGGCAAAAAGAGCGAAACTCCATCTCAAATAAACAAATAAATTAAATTAAAACTTAAAAAATAAAATAATGATATAAATGGTATGAAATGCTTGAATGCAGAAAATACAGAATATTTCAATAAAGGTCAAGAACATTAAAGTAATAAATTTCCTTGACATCTTATGAAGCACTGATTATAAAATTAAATTTAGTATTTGATTTACAATAACATAATTTCTGATTTGAAAGCATTATGAAACTCAGAAGAATTTACAAGCAGAAAGCTATTTAAAAGCTGCCCTCTCTACTTGATGAAAGATTAAGAAGTACAAGCTCATTTACTTGACAAAGGAAGTGTGGCAGATAATCTAAAACCAAAGTGTACTGAGCATACAATATATTATGCCAATTTGCAGTAGACTTAACCTTTCTTTAAACTCTTAGCCTAGAACAGAATTAATATTAATTTTGCATGTGATTAACTAGAGAGAGCTTGAGCCCAAAGCATGATAGGTTATACAGGAAAATTTCACGTGAGTCCTTGCTGAATTTCAATAGCTTAAAAATCTTTTATTTGCTCTGAGCTACTTGTGAGAGCTTGCAGTATTTTATTTTATTTTATTTTATTTTATTTTAATTTAATTTTTTTGAGACGGAGTCTCGCTCTGTCACCCAGGCTGGAGTGCAGTGGTGCGATCTCAGCTCACTGCAACCTCCGCCTCCCGGGTTCATGCCATTCTCCTGCCTCAGCCTTCCAAGTAGCTGGGACTATAGGCACCCGCCACCTCACCTGACTAATTTTTGTATTTTTAGTAGAGACGGGGTTTCACTGTGTCAGCCAGGATGGTCTTGATCTCCTGACCTCGTGATCCACCCATCTCGGCCTCCCAAAGTGCTGGGACTATAGGCGTGAGCCACTGTGCCCAGTCAAGAGCTTGTAGTTTAATAAAAGTTGTCTTTAAAATTACATGGATGGGTATGAAACCAATTTTACGAATTTTTGGGTTTTGTTGTTGTTTTTTAAGAGACAGAGTCTCGCTCTGTCACCCAGGCTGGAGTGTAGTGGCGCAATCTCGGGTCATGGTAACCTGCGACTCCTGGGTTCAATCGATTCTACTATTTCAGCCTCTTGATTAGCTGGGACCACAGGCATGCAGCACCACTCCTGGCTAATTATTTTTGTATTTTTAGTAGAGACGGGGTTTCACCATGTTGCTCAGGCTGGTCTTAAACTCCTGACCTCAAGTGATCAACCTGCCTCGGCCTCCCAAAATGCTGGGATTACAGGCATGAACCACCGCACCCGGCCTAAAATTGTTTTTTAGAGAAACAGGGTCTCACTCTGTTACCCAGACTGGAGTGCAGTGGGGCTGGCATAACCGCTGGGCTCAAGTGATCTGCCCGTCTGAGCCTCCCAAGTAGCTGGGACTATCGGAATGAGCCACTGGGCCCAGCCCACTTATATTTTCATGGTATAATTTCACATATAGGTTTAAATTGTTACCTTTATTTAAGGTGCTACCATTCATCTTTCCGTTGCTTTGTTCTGCATCACCATCTTGCTCATCTAGCTGTTCAAGAGCTAGCTGGCGCCAGCTCCGCAAGGAGGACTTCCCCACCCAAAATCCATCATTGCTGTGGAACAGAGAGAATGTTAAATCATACAAGTAATATTTCCAAACACTGTCCTCCCTTCTTTGCCTGTAAAAACAACTAAAGTGAATTACAAACACTCAACATCAGCTACTGTACATGTAATTGTTTTTAACCTACTTCCTAATTTGGTCATTTTCTCTGTCCACTATTGAACTGCAGGGATCTAATATTTTGTTTCCATTCTAAATATTATCCTGCTTTTCCTACCTTCATGCCAATCACACCAATCAAATGATAGGATGGAATACAGTGGCAAAGGCTATCTGACTCAGCAGCTTTCTTTATCATTGCCACAGGGGCGGTTGTTGCAAAATTTACTTTTGATCTGGCTCTGCCATTCACTTTATCACCCTTCTTCTAAACATCCCAACTTCCTATTTTCAATAAATAACGAGCTGCTTGGTTATGACCTCTTGAAAATTTCTTAGTTTATCATAAACAATGTACGCTGTGCAACATACCCCTTTACTGCTGCTTTCAGCAGATTATTAACAGTTTTATAATCTTCATTTAGTTGGTTCTTCAGACGCAATACGCGACAACGTTCTACTACACATTCCTTACACAGGGCTTTCACTACAGGCAAGAAAGAATGAAAGGAAATATATTTCATTCAAACAGACTTCCTGTTAGGAAAATGTTTTTAGCACTTCACAAACAGACACATTCTAAACCAAAGTCACAAATGTTGGCAATGTGGCAAACTGATATATACCCTAAATTATTTTACTAAGACAATTAGATACCAAGACAGCAATACTGTTATCTGAATAAAGAAAGAAAAATGAAAGAGAAAATGTTATATTATGTTAAAAGTATCTAAATACAGTATCTGACAAGGCTTACATGTAATTTTTATAAGATGATAATCAAATAACTGAGGTTCTAAGGTGGAGGGGTTAAATATAGCTGATAATTATAAATAATGATCTTCACATGAAAGTGATCTTCAACGCACACTAAAAGGAAAAGCAAAACGAAGGGTCTGGTTTAAAACACAAAGAAGTTTTAGGAATCATCTAAAATGTGAACGCTTTTCCCACTGCATGGTTTACTCATTGTGAATTAAGAACAGTGGCAGGTATAGTGGCTCATACCACCAAGAGCTTTGAGAAGCCAGGCAGGGAGGATAGCTTGAGGACAGGAGTTTGAGACCAGCCTGGGCAACACAGTGAGACCCTGTCGCTACAAAAAAATGTAAAAATTAGCAAGGCATGGTGGTGTGTGCCTGTAGTCCTAGCTACTTGGGAAGCTGAGGTGGGAGGACTGCTTAAGCCTACAAGTTCAAGGCTGCAGTGCACTATGATTCCACCACTGTACTCCAGCTGGGGTAACAGAATAAGACTCTGTCTCAGGAAAAAAAAAAAAAAAAAAAAACGGGCCAGATATGGTGGCCCATTCTTGTAATCCCAGCACTTTGGGAGGCCGAGGCAGGTCGATTACTTGAGCCCAGGAGTTTGAGACCAGTCTGGGCAATATAATGAAACACCATCTCTACAAAAAGTACAAAACTTAACCAGGCATGGTGGTGCATGCCTGTGGTCCCAGCTACTTGCAAGATTGAGATGGGAGCCTGAGGAGGTCAAAGCTGCAGTGAGCTGTGATTGCACCACTGCACTCTGGCCTGGGCAACAGAGTGAGACACTGTCTCAAAAAAACAAAAACAAAAAATTTCCAGAAATTTAGGAAACAAAACTCCAGTGGTGTTTAACAGAAGGCCTGCAGCATGTAGTTAAATATCTGGTTTATGCAGTAAGTTGTATACCATTAGAAAATAGCACTTAATTTCAGAAATAGTGTATTGGGGAGGGAGGTGTCATGTAATTTCCTACAGTCTCATCTGAAAATTGGAGGGGGGATTATGTTGGTAGCTACTCATGTAAAAAGAAAAATGTTTCAAGGAGGCAGAACAGAAAGGCAGCCAGAACAAAATAAAACCATGGATACAATGTGGTCACATATATAGGTCTATATTGAAGGTAGAATCAAGCAGCTTCCATTCATAAACTAAGTAACCATCTACAGCTCAGACACTGGTAGCAGTCACCACAGGCGGGGCTCCTGCCTGTAATCCCAGAACTTCGGGAGGGAAAGATAAGTGGATCACTTGAGCCCAGAAGTTTTGAGACCAGCCTGGCCAACACATTGAAACCCCGTCTCTACTAAAAATACAAAAATTAGCTGGGTGTGGTGGTGTGCGCTTGTAATCCCAGCTACTCGGGAGGCTCTAGAATCACTTGAACCCAGGAGGCGGAGGTTGCAGCGAGCTGAGATTGAGCCACTGCACTCCAGCCTGAGTAACAGAGCAAGACTCCATCTCAAAAAAAAAAAAAAAAAGTCACCATAACATGGAGGCACAAACTTGTAATTAACCAGACAAGGCCTCAAGTACCAGACAGTTTTCTCAAAAGGGTCTTATTTTGTCTGCTTTGAGAGGGGTTAAAAACAAAACAAATCGAAAAATGAACCAAAAAACCCCAACCAACCCTCTATGAATAGCATCAGTTGCTTCACTTCTACTTTATTTAGCAAATTCTTTTTGCAAAGTGTAAGGAATATTTGATCTAGCATAGTTTGGGTCAAATCATCATAAGCCACACTCATAAAGACCATAAGATGAAGATTTAATGAGCTGCTCTTTTTTAAACAGAGAGGACATCTTGAATTACCAGTTAGTCTTGGACCTCCTCCATATCTACTATAGAAAATGTCAGCTGCATATTCAGATATCCTCTTCATAATTGATATTTTATCCGGGTGAAGCTTGTCATGGGAACACAGGCAAGCGTGATTATCAATAGGTTTGGTAGGTGTTGATTCATCCAACCACTTTTGCAGCCATTCCAGAGAGACAAACTCATAGGGCTCTGAGAAAGCAAGCATCGGAAAGAGCCTATGTATTTTTACAGTTTTTGGACTAAGTGATACATTCATTTTTTTCAAAAGACAATGCAAACTCTGTCCAGAGTTAGCAGAATCAGAAGAATCATTGTCTGGGGGAAGATGTTTTTACGACACAAAGCTCCACTTAAGTGCCACTCCTCTGAGTTCAAGGAGCTCTGCACAGTAATGCTGAGTCTGCACAGTGCCCTATGAGATCGGCTGGTATTATTAACCACATTCTACAAGAGGCAACCACATAGAGTCTTGCCTAATAGCACAGCAGAGTTTTGATCAAGACACCCATGTTTGCTGACTACAAGTCATGCTCCATTGCTGCCTCACAAATAACACAACCTCATGCCCTACTATGTTTATTTCATAAATTATTTGATTACTTTTCACATATATGTGATATACATCTGAAAATTAAAATGAGAAGCCAAACTGAACTCTAAGTTAGAAATTAACCTCACCAACTATGACCACACTTCAGAAGACCCTTTTAACTACTGAACTTTCTTTATCCAAGATGACACTGATGGCAATTTTGAAAAGGTATTTAATTCCCCCACCCAAATCCAAGTCATCATCTATTCATTATATTATTATTTATTTCAAGAAACTAACCTATTTTAAACAAGTTCCAGGATAAAGTACACTAGAACTGAGTCGTCATCAATTTTGAAGTTGCAAAAATTAAAAGACAAAACCAAACACCTCAAAATGAGTTTTAATTTGGGGGAAGGAAGTCCCTAGAATTCCCTAAAAGCCAAAATCAAAGATAAAGGGCCAGCTTTGATTACTTACAAAGATCTCCAGTGAGTCCCAGCATAAAACATAGAAGAAAACATACAGAGGTTGAATTTATATTTTTGTATTATATACTCCTTCTGATGAGATCTGAGGGACAGATACTTCAACGAAGCCCATTGTGACCAGTTTTATACTCCCCAGAGAGTTACATGTCTAGAAAACTAACTCCCATTTTAATTTTACAGCGAACCATTTCAATTTTTATGAAAACAAAATTTGGCACTGTACATCATCGACTAAGAGTCTTCTGACTGGTCAAATCGAAAGTGACTCCAGAGGAAGAGCACAGGACTGTGAGTCGAGGTCACGGTCTAATCCAAGTTCTGCCACCAAGAAAATCAACCTGAGCGAGTCACTTAAACTCTCTATGTTTCCGGTCTTTTATTTGTAAAATGAAGGTAATAATACCTGCCTTCTACCTACCTCATGGGGATGTTGTTGAGTATAAAAGATAAGCTATGTGAAGCATTTTGAGCTTTTTGGAAGAAAAGAGATATGGAAAAGTTAATGACACATTTACATAACCTTATTATATAAAAGAGGAGACCTTGGCTGGGCAAGGTGGCTCACGCCTGTAATCCTAGCACTTCGGGAGGCTGAGGCGGGCGGATCACCTGAGGTGTGGAGTTCGAGACCAGCCTGACCAACAGGGAGAAGCCCCGTCTCTACTAAAAATACAAAAAATTAGCTGGGCATGGTGGCGCATGACTGTAATCCCAGCTACTTGGGAGGCTGAGACAGAAGAATCACTTGAACCCGGGAGGTAGAGGTTGTGGGGAGCTGAGATTGCACCACTGCACTCCAGCCTGGGCAATGAGAGTAAAACTCCATCTCAAAAAAAAGGAGGAGACCTTAAGACGCAGTATATGTAACACAGCTGCAGCACTTTACAGTATATCATGGTAAGGCTAATTGCATTCAAAATGCCTCCCGACTTTATTTGCCATTTATCAAGCTTAATCTGCCAAGGATAGAGTACACTGGGTATCTGGGGAATGCAAAGATAAATGATCCCTTTCCGAGAGCAAAATAAAGGCCTTAGCATACTCTAATCTTTTCCCAAGGACAGTCAATTAGATTAAAATGGTAAGTAATACAAAGGCTATCAGAGGAGAAAAAACAGGATTGTGATAAAGAGCAACCTTCAAGAATAAGTCACTAGGCATTCTAGTCTCCCCAGCAGCTGGGGAGGAGCGGACAGACAGCAGTATCTGTTACTGCCAACTGAAGAAAACACCCTAAGAATCCGGGCCCTCACAATGAAAGGAATCTAGGAAAGCTCAAAATGCACAAAGCCCTCCTTGCCAGGGTACGTCTGCAGGAATTCAAAGCCTAGGGTGACTGTGGCCTGACTGTCCAGCAACAACGTGGCTCAAAGGAAAGACAACATTTTCCAATCTCACAGAAAACTTCCAAGGAAAGCTTGTTGTTTTGGTTTTTGAATCGTTCAATATAAATTTAATGAAAGATATAATAATTAGAAAAACGATGTATGGTTTTATAGTAAGAGGAGGAAGACAGAAAGCAGAGAACAGGCCTATAATTCTAATCTAATACCATGCTTATTACTAACTGAGCAAGTTTTCCAGATTTCACTTTAGTGCGCTGTGGGCTCCATGAGGGAAGAGTGACTATGGTCACAGAAGTCTGTCTTTCTTTCCATTCTCAGTCTCTATCATCATAAAGAGTTGCACTGACCTCTGCCAAGAGCTTGCCTGAGAATACAAGTGGAGCACAAGTCTCATGGTTAAGGCAGATTCTGCTGGTGGCAAAGTTTTTACACTACAGATGTTTCTGCACTAGAAAAAGACTCTGAGTGGGCCCCTCAAATATATTCCCTAGTATTTGTGATTCAGTAAACTACAAGGCTTGCTTTCCAAAGGCCATGGATATAATCAACTCCAAATGAGGGAGAACTCTCCCATTATCAAGCTGGAGATACTGGACTGTATGAAACCTCAGCATTTGATGAGGAAAGCAAAATATTAAAATATTTACCACAGGGAAATATACATTTTGGTTTAAAGTTCTTAAAAAAAAAAAGCCAACAAAAAACAAACAAACAAACAAAAAAACACCTGGATTTTGAACATGACACATTTTCTTAGGAAAGTTATATGGTCTAGAACAATTACAGCATTAAAAACATCTGAAACACTTTACCTAGAGATAAATTTAAGTATATTTCAATGGAAATAAAAAGGGCCAAAAGCATGTTCCTACTGAGGCTTAAATTTTAGGGTAAGTGATCTTTCTTTAAATATATTCACACACAAAAATAAGATTTAGAAAATGCATAACGAAAGATTTCTCTTGCCAGCACAAAACCACGCTCATTAACTTTGAGATTCTACATAATTTTACAATGTGGAATTTCTACAATATAAGTTTACTGCAAATGGAAAATAATTATATAGCTCATAACTGGTAGAAGTATAAATAACACAGAGAAATATTCTAAGAACATAAGCATATTCTAAGAACATAAGGTGCCTGTACGCTGAATGAAAACAGCCAAAGGAAGCACAGTGCTAACTTGACACATAACATCTTTGAACTCCATAGTTCTAAAGAGTGGTTCAAATGAGTATTTCGCTTTAGACCCAGTTAAGTCCCTTTCTCTTGTCCAGTGGACACAGGAAACCACGAATAAAGTTTGGAAAATAGATTTCTAGGTCCCGACACCTTTGAACAAAGACTTATAAATTTAGAGATTTGAATCATGGGTTCATTCCCAAATCATTTCCAGTTAAATTAAGGTCAGTTTAATTCTTTAGGATAATCCCAACCCTTGGACAGAGTTGAAGTAACAGATTACAAAGAAGGGTCAGAATCAAATTAAAATTCAGTTAAAATCTATTCTTATAGACTTAGCAATTTTTGTTTACATTTTGTTTAAAGTTATACTAGTAATGGAAAATTAAGATATTAAAAAGACAAACCACAAGTACAATTATGCTTAAGTATTTATTTTCTAAAGTAAGGACTAAATTGTCTCTCTTCCTTAAGTAGGAATTAGGCTTGGGAAATTCATGTCTTTGAAATGACAGATAATTTAATACAAATGGCACATCAGCCTTTAAAAAGGCTTAATTTGGTTTCATTTTGAGACACCAGGTAAACCTGAATAAACATATACAGAAAAGGGATAAGCTGGATTATGTAGGATATTTCTAAGAAATCAGGGGTCAGCAGAAAGCTTTTCTCTTCTTAGCATAATATTTGGTATTAAACTTCAAGTTAATCTAATAGTATCAAAAAAAAACTACTCATATAATAGAATGTCTGTTAAAACTGTCAGGTCACAAAGTATGCAAAGAAACAGAACAGGCAAGTTGCTTTTTCCATAGTAATCCAATCAGATTTTTCTTAAACAAGTTAATATCTCACAAAATATAAATATCTACAATACTCATGGATGCAAAGTGCTGACCTAAATGTTATAATTTATTAACAGCTTCCCATTTTTAGAAGTACAACGTAATGAAATAATATGGAATGCTACACATCAAGTTATTGTCGGTTTACAAAGTACTTTTAGAGTGTTTAAGCTGGCTTTAGTGGGTTATTAGAAAGAGTAAGTTTGAGAAAGTTTCTTCATATACATTTGTGAACATAAAAAAACAAGGCACTTAATGGCAACAGTGCTGTCCCAGAATATCTTACAGACCAGCTCCAGCAGGTAACCTTTGGTACAGCTCCTTAACCTCTTCGTGTTTTGCTTTTCCTTTATCCACACTTTGCTTACGCATCTCAGCCATTTCAATACACCACTCCTCAAATTTGGAATTATCCCGATCTACCAGCTCTTGAAGAAAGGCTATTCAAAACAGAAAGTCAAAAAACAACTTTATCCTTGTTTTCAAATATAGTGAACCATGCTAATCTCTAAATCATATCAAATACTGATTAAAACATTGTCAGAAATTCCAACTATGGTCTCCCTGTCTGCTAGAAACCTTCAATCTGAAGGTAGAAGTAAAACTGAAGACAGACACTAGAATAATACTAAGTTGATTCCCCCCACTTAGCTCTCCATGACATCATCAGCCTCCCAGAACAACTGAATGGCTCAAAATCACCACTTTAGAAAGATGATGCCAGGCGGGGCACAGTAGCTCATGCCTGTAATCCCAGCACTTTGGAAGGCCGAGGCGGGTAGATCATGAGGTCAGAAGTTCAAGACCAGCCTGGCCAAGATGGTGAAACCCCGTCTCTACTAAAAATACAAAAATTAGCTGGGCGTTGTGGCATGCACCTGTAATCCCAGCTACTCAGAGGCTGACGCACAGAACTGCTTAAACCTGGGAGGCAGAGGTTGTAGTGAGCCACGACTGCACCACTGCACTCCAGTCCGGGCGGTAGAGTGAGACTCTGTCTCAAAAAAATATAAATAAATAAAAAACAATAGATGATGCCACCAAACTTAGAAAAGTGCTGAGTAAAATGACTAAGACTGTCTTCAGGGCAGCAGCAACTCTGCCTTTTATATTATGAAGTCTAGGAAATCTACAGATAAATGAATAAAATTCACAAATACTCTATAAACTGAACAAACTAAAACCAAATTATACTTTAAATACATGTTTTGATTACTTTCTGATTTTTTAATAATTGCATTGCTTTATTTCAGAAGCTCACTTTTTAAAAGTAAATTTGCAATTGATATTTACTTTCACCAACATTCAGCTTATGGAATCAATTCATCATAATAACTAAAAGCAATCCACTAGTTATCATTAATCTTTGAGTATGGCATTCTAAAACATTTGCCTGATATAATCCTGGAAAACTGCTTTACCTGGAACTTGAACAGCAGTGTTGGGCTTTTCTTGAGTTTGCAGTCTATAAACCAACATATATGCATTTCGAGAGCAGTGAGTTCCTTTGCCACACTTGGGTTTACGTGTCTGAGACTTAGAAGGTTCTGCTGAGATAGAGAAATCAAAAGGTACCTTAAGTGCCTAGAGTTTGTTTATTCTTTAGCAGGGCTATAGAAAACAATTTCCAAAACATACACCCAAGAGACATTAACACCAATCTAAAACATTCGAATGCCATAGAAATTTGGCAGGCTCTTTAGCTTCTAATATTTAAAAAAGTTTACTACCGCTATTGCCAACCACATTACATTTTTAAAAGGTAAAAAGAAAATACGTTTTTCTGGGGAACAAACCTGGAACAACAACAACAAAAAATCACTATTGCCATAAGCTGATTTTTATGTTAGTCTTAAATTACAAAACTTAACTGAAGCCAGGCACAGTGGCTCATGCTTGTAATCATAGCACTCTAGGAGGCCAAGATGGGCGGATCACTTGAAGCCAGAAGTTCAAGACCAGCCTGGCCAACATGGAGAAACCCTGTCTCTACAAATAATACAAAAAGTAGGCGGGCGTGGTGGTGCGCACCTGCAGTCCACCTACTTGAGAGGCTGACGCAAGTGAATTGATTGAACACAGGAGGCGGAGGTTGCAGTGAGCCAAGATCACACCACTGCACTTCAGCCTGGGTGACAGAGCGAGACTCTGTCTCAGGAAAAAGAAAAAGTTAAATTAAATTAAATTAAATTAAAAAATCAAAATAGGCCAGGCGCGGTGGCTCACACCTGGCCAACATGGTGAAAACCGTCTCTCTAAAAACACCGCACCCAGCTAATTTGTGTATTTTTAGTAGAGACAGGGTTTCACTATGTTGGCCAGTGTGGTCTCGATCTACCGACCTCACGACCCGCCAGCCTCAGCCTCCCAAAGTGCTGAGATTACAGGCGTGAGCCACTGCACCTGGCCGAAATATTTTTATTCTTAATGATTGCTTGGTACACAAGTATTTGTTTTAATGTTGTGTGTGTGTGGTTTTTTTGTTTTTTGGTTTTTTTTTGAGATGGAGTCTCGTTCTGTCGCCCATGCTAAAGTCCAGTGCCTCAATCTCGGCTCACTGCAAGATCCGCCTCTCAGGTTCACGTCATTCTCCTGCCTCAGCCTCCTGAGTAGCTGGGACTACAGGCACCTGCCACCACACCCGGCTAATTTTTTGTATTTCTAGTAGAGACAGGGTTTCACTGTGTTAGCCAGGATGGTCTCAATCATCTGACCTCATGATCTGTCCACCTCGGCCTAATGTTGTTTTTTAATAAAAGCAAATATAAAATGTATATGTACAGTTTGAAAAATAAAAATTAGCTCAGTAATCATTTTAGTAAACAGATTTTCTTCAATTTAGTCAAAATAATACAAATGAATCTAGACTTAATTTAATTGCCCAAAGAAATAAAATAGCATATTTTCTTTTCTTGAGACAGAATTTCACTCGTCTCCCAGGCTGGAGTGGAATGGCACAGTCTCGGTGTACTGTAACCTCTGCCTCCCAGTTCAAGTGATTCTCCTGCCTCAGCCTCCCCAGTAGCTAGGATTACAGGCATGTGTCACCACGCCCAGCTCATTTTTGCATTTTTAGTAGAGACGAGAATTTACCATGTTGGCCAGGCTAGTCTCAAACTCCTGACCTCAGGTGATCCTCCCTCCTCGGCTTCCCAAAGTGCTGGGATTACAGGCGTGAGCTACCCCACCCAGCCTAAAAAGCATCATTTTTAAAAATGAAATGAAATGGGCCAGGTGCGGTGGCTCACGCCTGTAATCCCAGCACTTTGGGAGGCTGGGGCAGGTGGATTACCAGAGGTCAGGAGTTCGAGGCCAGCCTGGCCAACATGGTAAAAGCCCATATCTACTAAAACTACAAAAATTAGCCTGGGATCTGTAATCCCAGCTACTCAGGAGGCTGAGGCAGCAGAATCACTTGAATCCAGGAGGCAGAGGTTGCAGTGAGCCAAGATCACACCACTGCACTGCAGCCTGGGTGACAGAGTAAGACTCAGTCTCAAAAAAGAAAAAACAAAAGGAATGAAATGCTAACAACCAGAAACATTAGCCACTAATCTCTATAAAATAAACAGCAAGTGGAAAACATGAAGTGTTTCAGATGGCACCTACAGCACATGAAAACGATTTTCAAATTGGGTTTCAGTGTTCCAGGTAACTTTCTGAGAGGTAAGAGGTTATGGAGGCAGATCATTTGAGATCAGGAATTCGAAACCAGCCTGGTCAATGTGGTGAAACCCCGTCTCTACTAAAAATACAAATAATTAGCCAGGCATGGTGATGTGCACCTATAATCCTAGCTACTTGGGAGGCTGAGGCAGGAGAACTGCTTGAACCCAGGAGGCAGAGGTTGTGGTGGGCCAAGACAGCACCACTGCACTCCAGCCTGGGCGACAGAGTGAGACTCTGTCTCAAAAAGAACAAAAAAGGTTATGGGCAGTTCTAAGGAAATCCAGTTACCAGATCCTCAATTCACCATGTGCTTTTCTAAAACGGATCTGCCTCAACACTGAGGTCCCATGATGGTTTCTACCTTTCTTTACACAATCATTTGACTCCCATGTCACAAAAGAAAGATATAACCTCTCAGCCAGTGACAGAAAAAGGACTCATCTATCACATTAAGATATATTTACCAAAACAAAATACATTTACAGAGAAGTTTTACTGTTTAATAAAATTTATAACATACTTTTATGAGTTTTATCAATTAGGTAGTAATAGTCATAATTTTAAAAACAGCACTCTATCCAGAAGTACTTTTTAAGTATTCAGAGCTTTATAGTCACAAAAAACTTACTATATTCCATTAGAATAAAATTCTGTAGGGTAAATGTAATGGAAATAGTAGTACAGAAGAAAACTGAATTGTTAAAAATGCCTACTATAAAATAAGACCTGTTCAGTTATCCTTGAAAAGGATGTTGGTGGACATAAAATCTCCATGGTATTTAATGTCATCTGGACATTAATAAAAGAGTGATGTTACAATGTAAGTTTTGGTGTTTATTATGTCATAAATTACAGCATTTGGAGCTGCTTAAAATTTATGATGAAATTTGTTAGATTTTAAAATGTGCAAAGAAAAAAAAAGTTGTTCAGTTTTTTTTTGTTTTCCCTTGCACCCATGCTTGGATGTTCAACAGTCTTACAGACAACATGTGAACAAAAAAGGTTGGAAGATCACTGTACTGTCACAGGGAATTAAAATACCAGTAACATGTACAGGTAAGAGGAGATTAGTCATCCATTCCTAATTAAGAGTAACAGGCTGGGCGCGGTGGCTCACACCTGAAATCCTAGCACTTTGGGAGGCCAAGGCAGGCGGATCCCTTGAGGTCAGGAGTTTGAAACCAGTCTGGCCAACATGGTGAAACCCCGTCTCTACTAAAAATACAAAAAATTGATCAGGCGTGGTGGCATGCGCCTGTAATCCTAGGTACTCAGGAGGCTGAAGCAAGAGAATCGTTTGAACCCGGGAGGTGGAGATTGCAGTAAGCTGAGATCGTGCCATTGCACTCCAGCCTGGCTGACAGAGGGAGACTCCATCTCAAAAAAAAAGTACCCAAGATTTAAGATGTTCATGATTTTGTATAAGATGGAATATAAAATGATTCATAAAACTTCAGGATACAACATAACAATGAATGTCTAATGAAATTTAAAAATATTTTCTATTTTTGATTTAAAAGATGAAAGCTAAATTATATGCTGCATAAAATAATGAGTTATGAAAACACTGGAATGAGATGCCAATGGGTGTTTAGTGTTTTCTTGAACTGTTTCAAAATTTAGGACTACCCATATTTAAGACAGCCTTAACAATGCTTTTAATCCTAGAATGTAGACAGATTTTTAAAAAAAAAGAAAAAAAAAAAAAAAAACAATAAAAAACAGTCAAAACCAAGACATAACTTTTCACAATTTAAAGTTCTTTTTGTTTTTTCTTCCAGACAAGGTCTCACTCCGTGACCCAGGCTGCAGTGCAGTGGTGCAATCATGGCTCACTGAAGCCTTGATCTCCTGGGCTCAAGCATCCTCCTATCTCAGCCTCTTAAAAGTGCTAGGATTACAGGTGTAAGCCACCTCGCTCAACCCAATTAATGTGCTATCTCAATTCTGTTCCTAGTAGGAATGTCATAATGAAAACACATACTGTATAAGCAAATGTTTAGAATTTGAGTTTTACTTAGGTAAAATGGGAGTGAGATTGCTGAAATTCTGTAAACACAGAAATATTATTTAAAAGTAGAAAACAGGTTGGGCGCGGAAGCTCATGCCTGTAATGCCAACACTTTTGGGAGGCCAAGTGGGAGGATTGTCTGAGGGCAGGAATTCAAAAGCAACCTGGGCAACCCGGGGAGACCCTGTCTCTATAAAAAAAAAATCACAATATTAGCCAGGTGTGGTGGATCACACCTGTGGTCTCAGTTACTTGGGAAGCTGAGGCAGGAGGATTATTTGAGCCCAGGAGTTCCAGGCTCCAGTGAGCCATGTTCATGCTGCAGTACTCCAGCCTGGGCAACAAAGCAAGACTCTGTCTCAAAAAATATATATAAATAAAAGTAAAGAAAATAAAATTTAAAAGTGAAAGAATGACTTCTCCAAGCTACATGAATGGAGTTAACAATCTATTATCTGTAGAGATGATGCATGTGTCTTGAAAGCAAATCTCAACTGCTACGCTCCTGCCTACTGGACACCTTGAATAAATGTCTCTGACCCACTAAGAAAAAACAGTGGCAGGAGACACACACACACTTACTCCCATTTCTTTTCTCTGATTCAGATACCATAGTCTGAACCTCATCCAAAGCTGTTTAGCACTTTCTTGTGAAATGATGACCACAGTCGTGAGTCTGCATGTGTCATCTCACTATGCTGTGTGTTGGATTTCCAGAACAAAGCCTGTGCCCTTGGACAATTGCCTATACCTGTCTGACAGACAATGGGAAGAGAGTGATAAACAGCTCAGGAGACGGCTCCAGGTAGAAAAACTGTCCATTCCTTTGGAAAATAAATGGGTACTTAGGCCCAAGACAACTGAGGTGATGAAAGTATATACTAGGATACTATTTCAAGAAGTACCCTTTATGGCAGACCTCACCACTATTTCAAGAAGTACTCTTTATGGGAGACCTCACCACTACACAGTAGCAACCAGCTCATTCTCCACAGAAGCACTGCTCAAGGATTTGGGTAAGATACTTAAAGGAAGGAAAAACAAAGTTTACCTGCTACAGTTAGTTCCCCAAAATAAATTTCCTGACCCAAGGAAAACAACTACTAATCCTACTACATTAAATCTACTATTCATCATCATTAACTTAATACCTATGATCCTCCCCTACCCACTTAAATAAGCCTGGTAATTAAAAACTGATCATTTGCCTTCAAGCTTTACTGAAAACATGACACTATGAAAACCATCTCTGGAAAAAAATAATTGTAAACTTTTTTAACTAAAATTTTAAAAAGCAAGCATTGTTGGCTGGGCATGGTGGCTCATGCCTTATAATCCCAACACTTTGGGAGGCCAAGGCAGGAGGATTGTTAAACTCAGGAGTTCGAGACTAGCCTGGGCAACCAGGTGAGACCCCGTCTCTACAAAAAAACTGTTTTAAACATTTTTTCCAGGTTGGCCGGGCATGGTGGTTCACGCCTGTAATCCCAGCCCTTTGGGAGTTCAAGGTGGGCAGATCACTGGAGGCCAGGAACTCAAGACCAGCGTGGTCAACACAGTGAAGCCCCATCTCTACTAAAAATAGAAAAAATTAAGGCCAGGTGCAGTGGCTTATGCCTGTAATCCCAGCACCTTAGGGGGCTGAGGCAGGTGGGTCACCTGAGGTCAGGAGTTCAAGACCAGCCTGACCAACATGGGGAAACCGTGTCCCTATTAAAAATACAAAATTAGCCAGGCGTGGTGACACATGCCTGTAATCCCAGCTACTTGGGAGGCTGAGGCAGGAGAATCTCTTGAACTCAAAAGGTAGAGGTTACAGTGAGCCGAGATCTTCCCATTGCACTCCAGCCTGGACAAGAAGGCAGCAAGAGTGACCAAAAAAAAACAGGAAAGAAAAGGAAAAGGAAAAAGAATTAGCTGAGCATTGTGGCACATGCCTGTAATCCCAGCTACTCAGGGGGCTGAGTCATGAGAACTGCTTGAACCCAGGAGGCAGAGGTTGCAGTGAGCCGAGATGGTGTTACTGCAGTCCAGCCTTAATGACAGAGTAAGACTCTGTCACAAAAAAAACCAAATTTTGCCAGGTGTAGTGGCACAAATCTGCAGGCCCAGCTACTAGGAAGGCTGAGGTGGGAAGATCACTTGAGCCTAGGAGGTTTAGGCTACAGTCAACCGTGATTGTACCACTGTATTCCAGCCTGGGCAACAGAGTAAGACACGGACTCGAAAAGAACACAAAACTGAAAAACAAGCATTGCTAATACAAGATGTTCAGTGATTTTACATGTGTTTAAGAAATGCAAATATCCTTGAGAGTCTGTAACATAATAATCTTGAGCCATAATAATTTATCACAAATATTTCTACTAAATAAATTTATATTTTAAAAGGGCACTCACAACTTAAAGGTTTTACCTAGATCTTCCTCAATCCCTAGTTGCAATTTCTTTCCCTCCATCTTTTCTATGTCTTCATCATTAAACTTATACCATTCACCAGACTGTGGATCTTTCACATGGGCGATGTAGTGGCCAGAATAAGCACTCACTCCTCTGTGTATGAGGACTGCACTGAGTTCATACACATAGGACCCACCTGGAGAGAAAGGGAGAAAGTAAAAGAAACATTGGATAACAGTATTTCTTATATCCTGAGCCTGAATTGTAATGTTTACGAATCTTTATACATGCGGTATAACTAAAAACATGTCACCTAAAATTTTTACGAATTACTTTTACAAAATAATGTATATTTACACTCCCTTAACTCTCTTAAACACACTCTAAGCACACTGTATTAACTCTCCAAGCCTCTGCAAAATACATGGATTTTTGAAAAACTATGGCCTCCTGGGCACTCAGGGAGTATAAGCTACTCTACTACATACTGTGCTCTTCAGCACAGACTAGCGAGGCCACACGCGTCCCAAGAATCGGCTGTTCATACTCTCTGATGTGTTACAAAAATTAAAACTTACACAAACCAGGGAGGCACGAATGTCAAATGAAAAGGCTATTGTTTATAGAAGAGAAGATAAATGCTTTGGCAAAAACTGACGGCAAGTCATGAAAACTTATACTTATACTTTGGGACCTAGGGGTAAAAATCAAAAACCAAAAGGAAACCTCCATTACAACTTCATAAGAAGCCAGCCCTCAAAAAGATGTCTTTACTATGAATTCACACTGCCTATGAAGTCAGAAAAACCCCAAGCCAAGAGTTGTGTTTGATGTGGTCCTGGGACGAGGGATAGTCCTAAGAAATGAGTTCCGTCAACACACATACACGTCACATAACACAAGTCACTCTAACTGCGAGGTAGCAAACAGCAGCAAAATCAAACTGATGAAGATGTTCACCTCAGTCAGTGGAAATAGCAAATACATAAATAAAATTTTAAATATATTTAAAGAAGTAAATGATGAGATTAAGAGGAATAGAGACTACAGAAAATGAAAATCAAATGATAAAGAACCAAATCAAACTCCAAGAAATGGAAATCATAGTCACCGACAGTCAAAACTCTATAAAATGGTTTAACCTCAGATCAGGTTCACCTGAACAGCGAATGAATAAAGTGCAAGGTGGAGCTGAAGAAATTATGCAGAATGCAGGACAAAGCAATGAAGAGTTGGGCGTCGTGCAGCATAGAGTAAGAAAATCTAACACATATCTAACTGGCATTCCAGAAGGAAAGGGAAAAGAGAAAAAGCATTCAGAGGTAATAGTTGGAAAATTTTCAGATGCCCTAGGTAAGAAGAATAAATCAATTAAAAATCAAACCAAGTGTTAACAGCTCTTTTAGAATTTGTCTAGCAGGCTTTCTCCTACTAGAAAACCAGAAAGATTTTTAAAGAATCAAAATTAAAAAACAAACCAAAATTGGTCACAGTGACACTGCAAGCCACCAAAACCAAAGAAGAGGTCTTAAAATTAGACAAAATAAAACAGGCCTCTTGTAGAAACAAGAATTAGACTGCAACCAACTTTTCGACAGCAACAACGGATGCCCGAAGGCAACAGAATGCTATCTTCTTCAATGATATCTTCAATGAGTAAAAGTAACCATTCATGATTAGAGAAAATGAATTCCACAAGGACAAAATAGACACTTTCAGACAATAATATGTGAAAAGAATCTTTCACCCATAGACCCTTACTAAAAGAATTTTATAAGCTCTAATTCAGTATTTTAAAACTCTTCCAGATGGAAGGTCCAGAATGCAAAGAATGATAAACAAAGGAGGTGGGTCAACACTAGGATTCCTATACAAGATAGTCTGTAAGTTTCTTTTTTAAAAAAGGTAGAACTAAAATACATATGAAAAATAGGCCAGGTGTGGTGGTTCACGCCTGTAATCCCGGGACTTTGTGAGCCAAGGCAAGAGGATTGCTTAAGGCCGTAAGTTCAAAACCAGCCTGGGCAACATAGAGAGACCCAGTCTATAAAAACTTAAAAAAATCAACCAGGCATGGTACTATACACCTGTGGTCCCAGCTACTCAGGAGGCTGAGGTGGGAGGATCGCTTGACTCTGAGAGGTCAAGGCTGCAGTGAGCCATGATCGTGCCACACTGCACTCCAGCCTGGATGACAGAGCAAGACCATCTTAAAAATAATTTAGGGGAGTGTCGATTGCTTAATGTTTTGAGATCGTTGAGGGTAAAGATGTTATCTGGAGAGTTAAGAACACACGTTATATTTTCTAGGTTAATTATTAGTATTAGCTGGCCCAGGCTGCCTTAGGGGGCATTTTCATACTCCAATTTTAGGGCTTACCTGGAATCACCCCCCACTGTTCTTTCTACTGCATGCACTCTCCCCGTTACTTCATGTGAAGGTGAGCCAGAGAAAGCCTATCTTCCTAATCTCAGGGAACCATAAGAACTACTGACTGGGCACAGTGGCTCATTTGTGCCTGTAATCCCAGCACTTTCAGAGGCCGAGACAGGTGGATCACCTGAGGTCAGGAGTTCAAGACCAGACTGGCCAACACGGTGAAACCTTGTCTCTACTAAAAATATAAAAATTAGCCATGCATGGGTGGTGCACACCTGTAATCCCAGCTACTCGAGAGGCTGAGGCATGAGAATCGCTTGAACCCAGGAGGCGGAGGTTGAGGTGAGCCAAGATTGCACAACTGCACTCCAGCCTGGGTGATGGAGTGAGACTCTGTCTCCAAAAAAAAAAGAAAAAAGAAAAAAAGAAAGAAAAACTCCTGAGTCCTGAACAGAGCAGCAGAAATAAAAAGGAGGGGGAAATGTCATGGTCTTAGATTGCCCATACCAAGTTCTTCCAGTCTGTGTAAGCCAGGGAACCTCAAGCCTTGAACTCTGTGATCATACCTAACCAGCAGAGGCCCCAAATGCCTGACAGAAATAAACCTAAGGGCTTTGCAGAGGAGATGGCATGTATCCTAGCCCTAGGGGAATCCCCATAAATAATTCTCTATGTGCAATAAGCAGCATGCAGTCAAAGACAACCACGGACAGAAGAAACAACACAACACTGCAACAACCAACTCAGGTAGAGAGATCGTCCTGAACAATATTCCAACACTGTCAGTAATGGATTATAAAAACTGGGTGTTTTTAATGTTTAAAGTGGTTAAAAAATTTTTTTTTAATATTCTGGATACCTTTAATACATTTGTGAACAAATATTGATGACAACTCACTTTAAATAGATCAGTAACTGAGAACGGTGATACATTTCTTTTTGTGGCTCTATTGACCCTAATTGGTCAAAAGCACCTCGTTTTGCAAGACAATGGGTAAGGAAGAGAGGAAGAGAAAAGAAAAGGAGGCTGAAGGGGAGCCAAAGCCTAAGATTCTCTAGAAATGCATCAGCCTCCAGAGTATGGGAGTACACTGGGTCCCAGAAACCTCAGCGGGACCTAGTTCTCACAAACACAAGAGTGTCCAACGGATGAAACCTCAGCTGAAAACACAGAAGGTAGCAGTGTCCAAAGACATTGCAGGGTCTGGGAGGAACAAAGTTTGATAAGGTTGTTAACTATCACAGACTCAGCAGGATCTGGAGGAGTCACCAGTGGGGTTCTTCTCCCACTACCTTCAATAACCCAGGTAAAGAAGCAGGGGCAGCACAGTAAGATTTAATTATGGGTTATGCTATGGCTGGCAATATCCCAGGAGAAAAAAGAGTAAGCTATGTTTAGGGATGCATGCTATAGTAAAATGCTAAAGAAGAAAAAAATAAAAGAAGCGTTCCACATGAAAGTCAGATAAATGGTTACACTTAAGGGGAGGAAGGTGGTGTTAACTGTGCAACTGGGAGGGGCACAAAAGGAGGCTTCTGGGGTTCCAGAAATGTTCTTCTTTCTTGATCTGGGGAGTACGCGTAATTCATAATTCACTAAGCCATGCATTTTTGCATTTTGAACTTTTAGGAATATGATATATTTCAAATTTTGAAAAGAAAAAACTAAAATATGCTGAGATACATGAAATTTCAACTATGGAAGGACAAGGCAAGGTAAGGCACTGAGTAAGGGCCGAACAAGGGTGGAATGCAAGATCACTGAAAAAGAGAAGTTGCTATTGGGTCAGCTGGAAGGAGCGTATACAAAGGAATCTTAATAATATTCCCTATATCATTAATGAAGACAGTAATCCACAGGTATTAGCAGTAGCTGTAACTTTATTACCAACAGACAGCATTAAAAATTTTGACATTTTAATTCTTGCAGATAACCTGGATTTATATTCATCAATTCATTAAACTCATCAACTTTAAAATGAAGGCCAGGCGTGGTGGCTCACACCTGTAATTCCACCACTTTGGGAGGCCAAGGCAGGCAGATCACCTGAGGCTGGGAGTTCTCGAGACCAGCCTGGCCAATGTGGCGAATCCCGTCTCTAGTAAAAATACAAAAATTAGCTGAGTATGATGGCGGGCACCTGTAATCCCAGCTTACTCGGGAGATTGAGACAGGGAGAATTGCTTGAACCTAGGAGGTGGAGGTTGCAGTGAGTCGAAATCGCACCTCTGTACTCCAGCCTGGGTGACGCAAGACTCTGTCTCAAAAAAAAAAGAAAAAGGAAAAAAGAAAAAGAAAAACTTCAGAATTAACATAGTTTTTAGGCCAGGGGCGGTGGGTCACGCCTATAATCCCAGCACTTTGGGAGGCCAAGGCAGGCAGATCACTTAAGGTCAGGAGTTCAAGACAAGTCTGGCCAACATAGTGAAACCCCGTCTCTACTGAAAATATAAAAAATTAGCCAGGCATGGTGGCAGGCGTCTGTAATCCTAGCTACTAGGGAAGCTGAGGCAGGAGAATTGCTTGAACCCAGGAGATGGAGGGTGCAGTGAGCCGAGATCATGCCACTGTACTGCAGCCTGGGCAATAGACTGAAACTCTATCTCAAAATTTAAAAAAAAAAAAAAAAAGATAAGCTTTTAAATCCCCAAGGAACATGGCAAGACTTGAGTCGGAGACTCAAGGGCTAATGTTTGAAAATGAGAATCCCTCATTCTACAGATGTCTGCATATCTGCAGGCTCACCATTTAAATAAACAGGTGGATTCTCCTTTTAACAATAGATCATCTTTTAGATCCATCTTCTGATCTTTGTGTAGCTATGCGTGTACAGCTTTGTGTGATTATATGTGGGTATGGGAAAATATAAATACTAATTATCTGGATGACAGAATTACACATGGTTTGTATTTTTTTTTTTTTTTTTTTTTTTTGAGACGGAGTCTCGCTCTGTCACCCAGGCTGGAGTGCAGTGGCCGGATCTCAGCTCACTGCAAGCTCCGCCTCCCGGGTTTACGCCATTCTCCTGCCTCAGCCTCCCGAGTAGCTAAGACTACAGATGCCCGCCACCTCGCCCGGCTAGTTTTTTGTATTTTTTTAGTAGAGACGGGGTTTCACCCTGTTAGCCAGGATGGTCTCGATCTCCTGACCTCGTGATCCGCCCGTCTCGGCCTCCCAAAGTGCTGGGATTACAGGCTTGAGCCACCGCGCCCGGCCATGGTTTGTATTTCTTTATGCTTTCTGAATCTCCCAAATTATCTAGAACAAACTCCAAGCAATTAACAAAAGTTAACTGTTTTTAGTTTTCTACCTATATAAGGCAGAGCAAGTATTACAACAGCGTGTAAAAGACAAGCCTATAACTATAAACCACTAGATTGCTTTTACCAGCCCTAATTAACAATTCTAAAATGAGAAGATAATATTTATTTATTTACTTATTTATTCAAAAATTAAGGAGACAAACATGGTGGCTCATGCCTGTAATCCCAGCACTTTCGGGAGGTTGAGGTAGGAGGATCACTAGAGCCGAGTTCAAGACCCTGTCTCTAAAAAAAAAAAATTAAAAATTAGCTGGGCATGGTGGAATATGCCTGTTGTTCCAGGTTAAGCCCAGGAGGCTGAGTCTGTGATGAGCAGTGATCACATCACTGCAATTTAGCCTGGGTGACAGGGCCAGACCCCATCTCGAAAACAAATTAATAAAAAATAAAAAGCACTATATTTAGTAAACCAACATACCAAAATTAAATATTTCCACAGGTTTTGATCTAACATGTCCTTTTGATAAATATTTTCTTTATAGCATAAACTGGACAACTATATAATAAACTTAATAACTATTAATAGTAACAATTCAAACTCATCCAGTTGAGTCAAGCAAAGTGCTCATTTCACATCTCCTAAGTTTCTGGACTGGGAAGCCACTAACCCATTAGATTTTCCTCAATTTCAATTACCTGAACAAAGGAGGCAAGCAGCAAACTACTATATAAAGTAAAATAGAGCTCAGTTTATTTATTCAACAAAATATAACAATCTAACATTGAAGTCCAAAAGCAAAGTTGAAAACAGTTTCCTTGTTCCCTAGAGATACAAATTTTAAAGTACAGTACTGAAGAGTATCATACATTTGAAAGCTTACGTATCTATTTAGCACTTTCCTCCCCAACCTTCCCAATCATGTCTCTTAAAGGTTTTTACAGCTTGCTTCCATTGTAAGCTGCCTCTAGAAATTTTTTCTTTTTTTGGAAAGAGACAGAGTTTATAAAATTATTTCTACATTAAAAATTTGAGGCCGGGGCAGTGGCTCACGCCTGTAATCCCAGCACTTAGGGAGGTCGGGGCAGGTGTACCACTTGAGGCCACGAGTTTGAGACCAGCCTGGCCAACACGGCAAAACCCTAAAGTGCAAAAATTAGCTGGGCCTGGTGGCACACACCTGTAATCCCAGCTACAAGGGAGGTTGAGGGTACAGTGAGCCAAGATCGTGCCACTGCACTCCAGCCTAGGCAACAGAGCAAGACTCTGTCTCAAAAATACATTCACACATACATACATAATATTTCATAAGTACTACAATCAACCTTAAAGGGAAGTGAAACAGTTCTTTCTCCAATAAGACTCATCCTGTTTGGTAGGATGAAGACTACCAAAAGAAAAAAGCAGTACTTATTTCTTGTTAAAACAATGATAGCATCCTAGGGCATACCACTGGTTGCAGATATGAAAAATGAAAGCATAAATACTGGAATTACGCCACCTAAAGTTTCCGGGACAACATTTTTTAAAAAGTGAATAGAGGCAACTTGGAGACTGTTAGTTTTGAGAAATGACAAATAATAGTATTGAAACTAAGGTGGCAAGTGTGGGTTCAGAAACAGTATTCATTTTTTACAAATTATTTTTATACCCTTAATTCTGTACATATCCATGAACCACCTCATCTTTGCTATGTACCTACTCTCACAAAATGGAATTAACATCTTGGCTCCCCTAAAAAAGTCTTTGTTCCTAGACAGAAATTCCCAGAGATTAGCAAACAAAAACTGGCAATTGACTGCTATTCTATATTCATCACAAGCCGATCACAAGTTAGAGTCTCTGAGCATTATAATGTTTACTTCTCAGTAAAAATATTACCTTTATGTTCCACATAAGGCTCCATATCCAAAATTTCTGAGAAGCCAATGTAGGTATTCAGCTTTTTCTTATGTCCAGTTTGCCTAACCAAGAGGAAAGCTGATTATATTTACATTTAAAACAATCATAACATATAAGCTCTATTAGTTATTTTAATAAACTCAACAGTAGGTAGCTTTCACTTAACAATCTTCCTCCAAAACATGTACAATTAGAAGTAAACAGAATTATTACTTTATAGCTGGACAAATAATAGGTTAAAAAATGTGAATTCAAAGTGCTGATTCCAAGCACAGCTTATTTTCCAGAAGTTTCAGCTTAATCACAAAAGAAAAACAGATTATCCTGCTTTACAGAAGACATGCAGACATGCACATGTGCCAACATTGCCTTGATTTTAATTATAAAATGAAAAATACGTTCCCATGGCGGGGGCGTTGTAATGAGTACAAATTATTCTATTTAAAATATCGGATAATACTGAAGATCAGGGTAATTCACTTACTTACAGTTTTTCTTTTTTCTTTTTTTTTTTCCCAAGACAAAGTTTCACTCTTGTTTCCCAGGCTGGAGTGCAATGGTGCAATCTCAGCTCACTGCAACCTCCGTCTCCTGGGTTCAAGTGATTCTCCTGCCTCAGCCTCCCCAGTAGCTAGGATTACAGGCATGCACACCCATGCCCGGCTAATTTTTTATTTTTAGTACAGATGGGTTTCACCATGTTGGCCAGGCTGATCTCAAACTCCTGACCTCATCTACCCGCCTCAGCCTCCCAAAGTGCTGGGACTACAGGCGTGAGCCACCGCACCCGGCCCTTGCAGTTTTTTTTTTTTTTTTTTGAGGTGGAGTCTCGCTCTGTCGCCCAGGCTGGATGCAGGGCGAAATCTCGGCTCACTGCAAGCTCCGCTCCCGGGTTCACACCATTCTCCTCCTCAGCCTCCTGAGTAGGTGGGACTACAAGGTGCCCGCCACCACACCCGCTAATTTTTTTGTATTTTAGTAGAGACGGGGTTTCACCGTGTTAGCCAGGATGGTCTCGATCTCCTGACCTCGTGATCCGCCCACCTTGCCTCCCAAAGTGGCCTTGGGAATTACAGGCGTGAGCCACCGCGCCCGGCCTACAGTTTTTAATACTTTCTTAGAATAAAAAAAGTAAGGATTTTTTACTTTTCTAGTTATCAATTATATATGGTTGGCTTCTTTAAAATTTTTATGATAATAAAATCATGAAATACTGACATTTCGAAATGACAGGCTCCATCTATAACTTTCATCCTCAAATCTGGAGTTTCAAATTACAATCATTTTATCATCTCATCTATCTATGGTAAAGTCTGTACATAGTACCACAATGAACAACAAATACTACTATTTGCACACATTTACCTGTCAAAGACAAAACGCATTAACTGCAAGTTCAGAGTGCAAGGAAGGCTAAGAAGTCGAATCTTTCTTGTTGCATTCTGTTTGCTTTGACAGTTCTCACAAAAATAGCGATTGTCTCCTTCTAATTTTTCTTCCTGATCAAGAATAAGACATATTAATTTTAAAAAGAAGATGGGTTTAAAACAAGTGATAAAATTCTGGATGTAAAGTATAATTTCATTTTAGTTAACAGCTCTCACGCTATTTAAAAACAGCTACTATAAATAATGGACACACAAAGTAATGGGAACTGTTCAGCAGTGACATTATCAAGTTGTATACACTGATATTTAAAACTGATGTGCCTATTTCCCAAATGTATGATATTAAAAATACTTGTTTTAGGTTCTTTGTCCTGGTAATCCCACTTCTGGGAATTCTAAAGTAAGTTTTAAAAAGAAATGTCACATGTATTTTGATGCAACATTCATTTAAAAACAGCAAAAAGGCTGGGCAGCATGGCTCATGCCTGTAATCCCAGTAATTTGGGAGGCCGAGGTGGGCGGATCACTTGAGGCCAGGAATTCAAGACCAGCCTGGCTGCCCTGGTGAAACCCCGTCTCTACTAAAAATACAAAAATTAACCAGGCATGGTGGTACACACCTGTGGTCCCAGCTACTCAGGAGGCTGAGACATGAGAATTACTTGAACCCGGGAGGTGGAGCTTGCGGTGAGCTGAGATCACACCTCTGCGCTCCAGCCTGGAAACAAAGCGAGACTCTGTCTCAAAAAAATGAAGAAAAAAAAAGGAGGGAGTGTAAAAACTACATATGGGCACCAGAATACAAAATTATATACATATTTGGTTAAAATTACTGAAACATATTCATGAGAAAAAGCTAAAAAGAGACGTGTAGAAAAATCAAACATTTTAGCTGATAGTGGTTTCTTTTTAAAATTTGCCTTTATATTTCTATAAAGCTAATTGCAGCCAATCATAGCTAACTGAAGACTCAAACTCCTGAGCTCAAGCTTTTTGTGCCATATTATCGTAAGTAATGCAATACTGGTACCATCATCTCTTCACTTGGCTTCCAGGATACCACACTCACCAACTTTCCTCCTAATTCACTGGCATTCCTCCAAGCCTCCTGTGCCAGCTGCTCCTACCTCCCTGATCCCTAAAATTTGAATGTCCTAGGCCTCAGTCCTTGGGGATTTTATCCAGCCACGACTTCTTCCTGGAACTATACCTCTCAAATGTAACATGCTCAAAGCCAAACTCCTAATTCCTCTCAATCCTGCTCCTCTCAGGTCCTCCCCATCTCAGTTAGAGCAACTTCATTCTTTCAGTTGATCAGGCCAAAAATCTTAGTAATCTTTGACTCCTCTCTTACTCTCCCACATCCAGTCTGCAAATTTAAAAAAAAAAAATCTTTTTTTTTTAAATTTTTTTATTTTTACAGATGGGGTCTTGCTCTGTCACCAAGGTTGGGGTGCAGTGGTGCAATCATGGCTAGCAACTACAGCCTCAAACTCCTGAGCTCAGGCAATTCTCCCGCCTCAGCCTCCTGAGTAGCTGGGAGTACGGCTGTTCAACACCATGCCTGGTTAATTTTTTTATCTTTTGCAAAGACAGTCTATCATTATGTTGCCTAGGCTGGTCTCAAACTCCTGTTCTCAAATGATCCTACTGTCTCAGCCTCGTAAAGTGCTGGGATTACAGACATGAGCCACCACATCCGGCCCTGGCCTGCAAATTTTATCTGCTCTTAGACAATATATCTAAAAGCCAATTGGTGCTTATCACCTCTTCAGTTAGCCCATGGTCCAAGCCACCATGCACTCCCATCTGCCCTCAACCCATCTTCAGCCTATTCTCAGCACCCAGTTACCCTTTAAAACAGACTGTATCACTCCTACGCGTATGACCCTGATGACATCTCAATCTCACACAGAGAAGAAGTCAAACTTCTGACAAAGGTTTACTAGGCCCTCTCTGATATGGCCCTTGTGTCATCTCTATGACTTTATCTTCTATCACTTACTCACTTCAGCCACACTAACCGCCCCCCGCCCAGGATGTTCCTCAATCCACTAGGCAAGGCACATTCTCATTTTGGGCTCTGCACTTGCTATTTCATCTACCTAGAACACTCTTCTCCTTGATTCTAACAGGGCTCACCCCTTCACCTTCAATCACTTTATTTCAAACTCCACCCACTCCACCCTACTCCCTAGCACATTGCCCAGCGCCACCCTCCCTGCTTTATTTTTCTCCAAAGCCCTTATTATAGTTGACCCACTATCTATTCTAACTTTATTTTACTGTCCCTCCCTGGTGCCTATACCACTACTTTATAGGCTCCATAAAGGCTAATTAATCCCCAACAGCTGAAAGTATCTGACACAGTGAGCACTCAATAAATATTCAGTGGCCAGGCGCAGTGGTTAATGCCTGTATTCCCAGCACTTTGGGAGGCCGAGGTGGGCGGATCACCTGAGGTCAGGAGTTCGAGACCAGCCTGACCAATATGGTAAAACCCCATTTCTACTAAAAATCCAAAAAAAAAAAAAAATAGCCAGGCATGGTGGCCCACACCTGTAATCCCAGCTACTTGGGAGGCTGAGGCAGGATAATCACTTGAATCCAGGAGGTGGAGGTTGCAATGAGCCGATATTGTGCCATAGCACTCCAGCCTGGGCAACAAGAGAGAAACTCCATCTCAAAAAAAAATTCAGCGAAATGAATTCAATGACTACTTTAGGCATGCTCATGGATGAGCTGAGGAAGTAAGAAAGCACAAAATATATCTGAAGACAGCTAGCTAGCTAGCTAGCTAGATAATAAGCTTGTGTATTACGCTATGTATACACTCATGCTTGACAACAAAGGGTTCCTCTTAGCAGTTTTCCACTCAGAACAGAATCACTGAATTATCTCCACATGAATCTAAATATACAGAAAGCAGAGTGGCCTGATCAATGTAAAAAAGTTTCATATTTAACACATTCTAGTTTTCACTGCATGACAAGGTAAATTATCTTTATGATAACCGAGCATAGAGCTCTTTCAATACCCCACTACCCACTCACAGAATAGTATCTTCTCACACATACATAACTTTACATACAAAATAACTTGAAATAAGCAAAATTATTTTTAAGACACAGCCTGCTTTGGTACTTCATAAAGTTTCTTCTGAATCATTACACAAACAGAGACGCTTCTTATATAGAAAAAGCTGACACAATAAAAGCTCTAGTCACTAAATCAAAACAGAATAGCATTCAGCATACCATTTAACTGTTAATGGGCAGGAACAATACATACACCAAAATGTGAATACCTTCAAAAATTCCGAGATACAATCTGTTAACTGTTTGTGGCCTTGGATATTTAACTCCAGTTCGTAAAATTTTGACAAAAGCTTTGACTCTCTGCCACAGTGGTTGCAACTATAATAAAATAGAATGACAAAATTCAAATCAGAGTGTGGAAAGCAACAAAGTTATATTGTATTACATCCTAGAAAGATGGAAAAAAGCATTTATAACCTTCATTAGTTCTCTTTCACAGAAATTATGTATACTAAAAATGAAATATAATTCCAGCATTTTGGGAGGCCAAGGCGGGCAGATCACAAGGTCAGGAATTCGAGACCAGCCTAACCAACATGGTGAAACCCCGTCTCCACTAAAAATACAAAAATTAGCCAGGTGTGGTGGCACACGCCTGTAATCTCAGCTACTCAGGAGGCTGAGGCAGGAGAATCACTTGAACCTGGGAGGTGGAGGTTGCAGTGAGCCGAGATCACGCCACTGCACTCAGCCTGGGCAACAGAGCGAGACTCCATCTCAAAAAAAAAAAAAAAAAAGAAAAGAAAAGAAAAACAGAAAGTGACTGGTGAAGCTAAGCATTCATTGAGAAATTTGCTTAAAATAAATGTTAAGAGGTACAAATGCAGTTTTGTTACATGAACATATCGCACAGTGGCAAAGTCTAGGTTTCAGTGTCACCATCACCCAAATGCTGTACATTGTACTCATGCGAATTTTTTAACAGGCATTTTACATTTACTTTTAGTATTCTAGCCAGTTCCAATCTTCCTCTTTAACTCATGCCACACAGCCATAAAGCAAGAGCAGATTGCAAGAGTTCACCCAGACACCATTCTGAACACCTGGATGGGTTCAACTGCAATTACCAAGTCACTTGTTTATGTGTTCCCATGGAAATGTATTACCATAAATATTTCAAGTCCCATGATAACCCACTAAAGCTATAATCTGGAACTGCACTGAAAAATAGTTAACATATGAGCAACTGTCTTAGAACAAAATGTATCATGAAAAAGTTGAAACAGACTTACACAGTTACATAGGCATATTCTCCACAGAACTGCTGTTGAACAATGTTCCGCACATCTGGATTCTTTTGTTTAGACAAAGTATCTTCCAATAGAGACATAAAGAGCTTTGAAAATTCTTGAGCATCCTACAAGTTTAGGTTATTGAAAAGAAAAATCATATCTTGCTTTTCAACTTCTACTACAAATAGTAATATATTCAACATTCCAGAATCTACCTATACTTTCAACTTAACATTTTCAAAAAGGGGCTACAGCTATGTTCAATCAGTTTGTGCCCACATATGAATTTCCATAAATGGAATCAAGTATAATGTGTAAAATATTTGACAGTAAATAAAGGCTTTCACTCAAAATAGAAAAAATTTAATTTTAAAAAGCATTCTATTTCATCTCCCTTTATAAACATTCTAAGGAATGCTTGGGTACCTCTGAATACTAAAAAAAAAAAAAAAAATTCAGTTCTTACCTGCTGTTGTCCGGTGTCTAGGCCCAAGGCTTTAACAAATCCCGATGGATCAATGTATCGCCTATTGCTGTTTTGCAACAAGGCAAACAAGTACTGGAGATGCTCACAAATTGTTTGAGGCTCATAATCTATTAAAACAAAAATATAAATTTGGGTTTTTTTAAGTTGCTACTTTTCTTTTCAGAAAATGGTACTTCCTCTTCACATGAGAACATAAACACCCCTACATCCAAACTAGATTAATACTTTATTATCAGTTTAAAACTTCAAAAGAAAAAGGTTGAGAGCGGTGGCTCATGACTGTAATCCCAGCACTTTGTGAGGCCAAAGCAGGGACCAGAAGCTTAAAACAAGCCTGGCCAACATGGAGAAATCCCATCTCCACTAAAAAAAACACAAAAATTAGCTGGATGTGGTGGTACACACATGTAATCCCAGCTACTTGGGAGGCTGAGACACGAGCATCTATTGAGCCCAGGAGGAAGAGGCTGCAGTGAGCCGAGATTGTGCTACTGCACTCCAGCCTGAGCAACAGAGCGAGACTGTCTCAAAAACAAAAAACAAAGCTGGGCACGGTGGCTCACACTTGTAATCCCAGCACTTTGGGAGGCCAAGGCAGGAGAATTAACTGAGGTCAGGAGTTCAAGACCAGCCTGGTCAACATGGTAAAACCCCACCTCTACTAAAAATACAAAAATTAGCCGGGTGTGGTGGTGAGCACCTGTAATCCCTGCTACTCGGGAGGCTGGGGTACAAGGATAGCTTGAACTGAGGAGGCAGAGGTTGCAGCGAGCAGAAATCATGCCACTGCACTCCAGCCTGGGTGACAGAGCGAGACTCTTTAAAAAACAACAACAACAACAAAAAAAACAACTTTAAAAGACACGGCGGGCATAGTGGCTCAAGGCGGGGTGTGGTGGTTCACGCCTGTAATCCCAGCACTTTTGGAGGCCGTGGTGGGCGGTTCACAAGGTCGGGAGTTCAAGACCAGCCTGGCCAACATGGTGAAACCCCGTCTGTCTCTACTAAAAATACAAAAATTAGCCGGTCATGGGAGAACACGCCTGTAATCCCAGCTACTCGGGAGGCTGAGGCAGGAGAATCACTTGAACCCAGCAGATGGAGGCTGCAGTTAGCTGAGATCGTGTCACTGCACTCCAGCCTGGGCAACAGAGTGAGACTCTGTCTGGGAGGGAAAAAAAAAAGAAATAGAATTAGCAACCGTGTTTTGTGGACGTCATGAGGCAGCCAGGACTGACTACATACACTCCCCAAAGGCAAGAGCCTATCTGTATTAAAGCAACAACAGCAATCATGACTACAGTGTCTAGTCATGATTTTTTAAAGTTCAGTTAATGTGGACTTGGGATCTCAAGCACAGCAATTTACACTCAAGTGAAGAATACAAAACCCTAGAATTTCAGAGTTGAAAGTTTTAATGAGCTAGTGCAGGGGATGGAACAGAAAGCATGGATCTTAAGAGCCCAGAAGACCAAAGTCTTATCTTCTTTAAGTTATTAACTTATTGCTTCTCAGCTCCAAATCCACCCTTCTTTGCTTGCTCAGTGATGAGAGATGGGCTCTGCAAATACTTGTCCTTTGCCAGTTATCAAGAAGGTAAGGCTTATCAGTGAAGGGCACTGCAGGGTTTAGTTGTGCCTCCTCACCAGCCTGCTGCAGGTCAGCTTCCTCCAGGGCTCCACGTTCCTGCACCTAACAGTGGTCAGCAGCTTCCCCAGCACCTCTTTTAATAGCTTCACAGTACAGTGCCTCCAGTGAGGCACTTCCTCTCGAATGACCACCCTGTGAACGGCCTCCCAGATACTCTTTCAGGTGACTCTGTAGGGGGTTCCAGGGCCCAGCACCTTCTCATGGACAGTTTCCAGTAGGGATGCCCAGGGAGGCATCTCAGCACCTTTTCAGCCACCCAGTACATCCCAGCAGTGTCCAAAGAGGTCTGGATCTCAAGCCTGGGCCATGGGGGTGGCAGACTGTCCGTTGGATGTTCTCTTTCAGCCCAGGGATACAGGTTGCTCCCTGTATCTGCTGTCCTTGTATTCTTTAAAATCCTCTTTAACTTTTATCAACCAATTCCTCATTTCTCTAATTTCCTGTTATTAATTCTCAACTTTCCCTTTTCAAATTATTCTATCTTCTAATTGGACTCTAAATATGTATCTCTTTACTGCCAACTGTGGCTTTCAGTAAGTCAATACATCATCTTCAAAATAAAGATAAAATATTACTCCTTGGGCTGCAAAAGCACTGCGGGCCAGTAAAAGCTATTTAAGGCCAGGAGCTGTGGCTCATGCCTTCCCAGCACTTTGGGAGACCAAGGAAGGTGGATCGATTGAACCCAGGAGTTTGAGACCAGTCTCGGCAACATGGTAAAACGCTGCCTCCAAAAAAAAATACAAAAATTAGCAAGAGGTGGTGGTGCACACCTGTAGTTCCAACTACTTGGGGGGCTCTGGCAGGAGGATTGCTTGAGCCTGGGAGGTTGACGCTGCAGTGAGCTGTGTTTGCACCAGCCTGGGCGAAAAAGTGAGACCCTGTCTCAAAAAACAAACAACTAACAAAAGAAAACCTTTTCTGTTCAAATTATTGTGTGGCTTCTGTCTTCTAATCAGACTGAATATTTATATCCTTACTACCAACTGTGGCTTTCAGCAAGTCAATATATCATCTGTAAAATAAAGATAAAATGTTACTCCTTGGGGTGGAAAGGCTTTGCAGGCTGGTAAAAGCTATTCAAGGCATGGCACCATGGTTCATGTCTGTAATCCAGCACTTTTGGAGACCGAGACAGGAGGACTGATTGAGGCCAGAAGTTCAAGACCAGCCTGGGCAACAGAGAAGACTGTCTCTATAAAAAAAATAAGTTTAAGCTAGGCACGGTGGCTCACGTCTATAATCCCAACACTTTGGGAAGCTGAGGCGGGCAGATCACCTGAGGTTGGGAGTTCCAGACCAGCCTGACCAACATCGAGAAACCCCGTCTCTACTAAAAATACAAAATTAGCCGAGCGCGGTGGTGCATGCCTGTAATCCCAGCTACTCAGGAAGCTGTGGCAGGAGAATTGCTTGAACCTGAAAGGTGGAGGCTGCGGTGAACCGAGATTGTGCCATTGCACTCCAGCCTGGGCAACAAGAGTGAAACTGTCTTAACAAAAAAAAAATTAAGTTTAGGCCAGACACAGTGGCTCACACCTGTAGTCCCAGCACTTTGGAAGGCCGAGGCAGCCAGATCACTTGAGGTCAGGAGTTCGAGACTAGCCTGGCCAACATAGTAAAACCCTGTCTCTACTAAAAATACAAAAATTAGCCAGGCGTGGGGGCGGGCGCCCATAATCCCAGCTACTCGAGAGGCTGAGGCAGGAGAATCGCTTCAGCGCAGGAGGCAGAGGCTGCAGTGAGCCAAGACGGCGCCACTGCACTCCAGCTTGGGAAACAGAGTAAGACTCAAAAAAAAAAAAAAAGTCAAAAAAATGTTCAGGAAGAGAGCTCTCCCCCACCCCTTTCACCCACCTTTTTCTTCTTGGATGCCGTCTCCCAACACGTAGTCACTACAAGTGCTTGGACATAAGTAGAGTGCCTGCCGAAGCTCCAAGTTGAGAAACCACACCTGAAGAAATGTGTTGACGTAACAAGTGGCTCCGAGGTTAGTCAGGCCCACAAACGAGTTCTACAAAATACAAAATTTATCATTATAAAATCCACTGTCCTTTAAACAACACATTTCTAAGCATTATTCTTAAATTTTCAGATTAAAAATTTGTAAGACCGTCACAACCAACATGGTATAGCCACCTTAAGTTTCTCTTGGCTGGAAGTAGGGCATAATTTTCATGAAAGCCCCATTTTGGGTTGACCACAGGAGTGAAAAAGACTTCGGACAGCATCACTGCTCATCTCTAGCATATCGTCTTCTCCAGCCACTTAAATCTAAAATTAGAACAGTGGATTCTAGAAAAGATCGGTTTTGAAAAAGCGTACATAGGTTTTATGTTTGCTGTATTTCTAAACTGCCAGCATTCAGTAGAATGACCAAGTAAAACTTATGCAGAAAATTTCCTTTATATTCTAGAGATTTTAAAGATTGGGGGTGGTAGAGGGAACTGGCTGCAACTTTTTCCAAAGATAAGGTTGGGAATTCCTGACCTTACAAAGAATTATTCTTTTATTAAAATATCTATACAACAAACTTGGCTATTTCGTGAACGCTAAGCTTTATGTTTAGAAAATTTAATGTATATTTTTAAAAAGCAAAATTATATATAAAATACAAGCCCTAGAAAGCAAAATGCTATCATCGTGAGTTTGTTCCCTTGAATTACCATCTCCTTTAAAGAGGCTTTAAGATTTCGAAATAAAACATGCAATGTTAAAGCAAACATAGAATCAGCATTCAAACTAAAACTATTATTTAAAGGCTTACTGAATTACGCAGCTGCCTGTTCTAAAGCATATCATTAAGAAGTGTTCCAATTCAAGTGGCTTAGAGCCTTAAGTTCTACTACTTATCTTAAAGCTGCACAGGTTACCTGAAATCAGTAGAGCTTTCTGATTACAGGCCCAAAACAAAAGCAAAAACAAAAACAAAAAAATAGCATAATAGCAATCGCTTAAAAAAATGATGGTTTACCTTTTTTCTCCTCTCACAGTTGGGATCATCGATGTTATGAAAACTATTTTCATCTATTTCTCCTAACCAAATATGCTCACCAATACCAACCAAGCAATTCGGATTTCCTTTGCAGTTTCGTCTAAGGAAAAAAAAAAAGTTTAACTTTTAAAAGACCATAGTTTCATGAGAGGCAAACAAATTAAAACTACAATGAGATACCACTTCTCACCTATAAATTAGCAAAACTGAGAAAGTATAAAACACTCATTTTTTGAGGCTGTCGAGAAGCAAGCATGCATATCCTGCTGGAAGAAATGCAATTGCTGACAAAACTACATAGACAACTACCTTTAGACCTAGCAATCTCATTTCTGAGGATTTATCCTTCCTTAGGCTATACCTCCAACAACGCAAAATCTCATGCATAAGGTTATTTATTACAGCACTGTCTGTTAATCACAAAATATTGGAAGCCACTGAAATGCCCAAACACAGACGATATGGTACATCTATATGGCAGAGTACTATGCAACTGTAAAACACACACATACGCAAAAAAAAACATACACACACAGCATGAAAAAGATCTCTATGAACAGATGTGAAGTAATTTATAAATCCAGGACACATTATGAAGTAATTTATAAATCCAGGACACATTATTAAGTAAAAAAAGCAAAATGCAAAGGAGTATCTGTAGTATACTGTTATATGTAAGAAATATATAAGAAAATACATGTGCACATATATTGGCTTATTTTGAACAAAAAGAAACACAGAAAGGAAAAACCAGAGACTAATGAACCTGGTTACCTACAGAGCATGAGTGGGAATAAGGTTAAAAAAAAAATGTACCTTTTTGGCCGGAGGCACGGTGGCTCACACCTGTAATCCCAGCACTTTGGGAGGCCAAAGCAGGTGGATAACAAGGTCAGGAGTTCGAGACCAGCCTGAAACCCTGTCTCTACTAAAAATACAGAAATTAGCCAGGTGTGGCGGTGCGGGCCTGTAATCCAGCTACTTGGGAGGTTGAGGCAGGAGAATCGCTTGAACCCGGGACACGGAGGTTGCAGGAAGCCAAGACTGCAACACTACACCCTGGCCTGAGCGACAGAACAAGACTCTGTCTCGGAAAAAATGAATGAATGAACGAATGAAAAGGAAATGTACCTTTTCGTATAATGCACAATTTGGGACCATGTGAGTGTTTCTCATACTACTTCACGCACGCACACAAACGAAAATAAATCAACTGGCTAGGCATGGTGGCCCACGCCTGTAATCCCAGTCCTTTGGGAGGCCAAGGCAAGAGGATCACTTGAGGTCAGGAGTTTGAGACCAGCCTGGCCAACATGGTGAAACCCTGTCTCTACTAGAAATACAAAAATTAGCCAGGCATGGTGGTACACGTCTGTAATTCCAGCTACAGGCTGAAGACTGGAGGTTGATGTAGGAGAATTGCTTGAACCCAGGAGGTGGAGGTTGCAGTGAGCCGAGATTGCGCCACTGTACTCCAGCATGGGCAACAGAGCGAGACTCTGTCTCAAAAAAAAAAAAAAAATCAACAAGGATGTCAGGAACCCTAACTAAATTCAAAACAGAGAACATATTTCAACTAACTAAAAGATCCAGACTGAAGGGAAGGCAGGAGTGGGGGAGGGGTAGGGAGGGGTGTGACTGACCAAAGTAACTTGAACAGTCATCAAGCTCATTTAGTAGTACCCTCTGGCTAAAGACAAAAGGAACAAATATCCAACTCTAATTAGTAGGCTTCTTTTCCATAGAGACATGGGTTAATAATTCTGAAACACAGATCCTGACTTCTAAATATTATCCAGTAAAAGAATCCAGTGCTCCTTGGAGAAATAAATGGCTGATTCCAAGGCCAGGGCAGTCAGTGAAATTAGAAAATGAACCTACAACATCTTACCCTGTCCTAAAAGGATGTACTGAAAGAGTGATGGAGACATGTTAAAAGAACACAAGAGTTGGCTGGAAGGGGAGGTCCCACTGGTCAAATTTGGCAACAAAATTTAGCAACAAAATAAGCACTAGTATAAAGTAAGAATCCATCACTTCATGGTGAGATGGATGGAAGAAAAATCTCTTCCTTTTAGGAAAAAACCAACTACCAAAGTGGAAGGAACGACAGAATTAAAAATCTCCATTTGACATACATCAGATTCAGAAAAGAAAAAGAATCAGGCAAGAATCATCACGGATGCTAAAGTAGGCAAGTTGGAGAAATAACAACATTTACAATGTCTCAAAGTATCTCAGCACAAGTTAATTACAAAGGGAAAGATAGTAATGTTCAGTGGAGAAACCTGGCAGACACTACCTTAACCAAATACTTAAATTTAACACACCCAGTAATGAATCTAATTGACACCACACACCTTCTGGTATAATGCACAGCACAGAATCCCTTCTGTGATGTTCTGGCCAAAAATGCATGGCCTTAATTGAATCATGAGGAAACATTAGACCAAACCAACTCAAGGGACTTTCTACAAAATAAGTCACTGTCATGAAATACAAAGAAAGATCCACTAACCGTTACAGATTAAAGGAAACCGGAGAGACACAATTGAATGTAACATACGCTTAGCTTTTCTTTTGCTATAATGGAACATTACAGGACAAAGTTCTGCGCATCTCTGTAGGATGCCCACTAAAGGATTACCGGTAACAGTAAAAGACTGGAAATTCATATGGAAGTAATAAAATAAATTACAATATAACCAAACAATTAAAAACTACTGCTGTCATAAAATAAAAAGCTAGGCGGGGCACAGTGGCTCATGCCTGTAATCCCAGCATTTTGGAAGGCCCAGGCGGGTGGATCACAAGGTCAGGAGTTCGAGACCAGCCTGGCCACCATGGTAAAACCTCATCTCTACTAAAAATACAAAAATTAGCCAGGTGTGGTGGAGGGCGCCTGTAATCCCAGCTACCCAGGAGGCTGAGGCAGGAGAAATCACTTGAAACTGGAAGGCGGAGGCTGCAGTGAGCTGAGATCATGCCACTGCACTCCAGCCTGGGAAATAAGAGCGAAACTCCATCTCAAAAAAAAAATAATAATTAATAAATAAAAAGGTAGGGAAAGTTTTTAATGTTGTGATATATAACAGTATCATTAGTTGAAAAAAGGAAGGTGGGCCAGGCATGGTGCATCCCAGCACTTTGGGAGGCTGAGGCAGGCGGATAAACTGAGGTCAGGATTTCAAGACCAGCCTGACCAACATGGAGAAACCCTGTCTCTACTAAAAATACAAAATCAGCCGGGCATGGCAGCGCATGCCTGTTAATCCCAGCTAGTCGAGAGGCTGAGGCAGGAGAATTGCTTGAGCCTGGGAGGTGGACGTTGTGGTGAGATCATGCCACCGCACGCCAGCCTGGGCAACAAGCGTGAAACTTTGTCTTAAAAAAAATAAAAAGGAAGGTACAAAATGTTGCCATTTTTAAAAATTTACAAATGGGGTAAACACACCTGTTTGTTTAGATAGAAAAGTATGCTATAAAGTGGAAACAACTTTATCGGCAAAGATTATCTCTGTACTTGCCAGATGTAAGTCAGAAGTAAACAACACTCTGAACTTCCTTTTTTTTTTTTTTTTTTTTTGAGACTCCCACACTGAAGTGGCACATTCATGGCTCATTGCAGCCTCTACATCCTGGACTTAAATGATCCTCCAGCCTCAGCCTCTGGAGTAGCTGGGACCACAGGTGCATGCCACCATTCCTGGATAATTTTTTAATTTTTTTTTGTAGAGACGGGGTCTCGCCATGTTGCCCAGGCTGACCCCATCCCTTTTATATCTTTCAGGCTTTGAACAATAAAATGTACTACATATTCCAAAAATAAGTAAATAATTGTTTTAAGGTTCTGTTTAAACATACTGTCTTCTAAAATATAAAAATGAAGCTGGGTGTTGTGGCACATGCTTAAAATGCCAGCTATTCAGGAGGCTCAGGCAGAAGATGGCCTAAGCCCAGGAGTTGGAGGCTACAATGAACTATGATTGCACCTGTGAACAGCCACTGCACTACAGCCTGGGCAACAAAGTGAGACCCTGTCTCTATTTTAAAACTTTTGAAATAATAAAAATGAAAACTGAAGTTCGACCAATTTAAGAACAGTTTTGTCAGCTTATGTCAAAGCCAGGAGGGAAAAAAGCTTATTAATGAAATAAAAGTAGAACCCATCCACTGTGGGGAGAAGCAGCTAGGGTTTTTAGTGCTTATAACTTACCTCTAATGGGAAAGGTCTACTATAAAAGAGTTAAAGAAACAAAACTGACCAGGCACGGTGGCTCCTGCCTGTAATCCCAGCACTTTGGGAGGCCAAGGTGGGCAGATCACTTGAGGTCAGGAGTTTAAGACCAGCCTGGCCAACATGGCAAAACCCCGTCTCTACTAAAAATACAAAAATTTGCCAAGCGTGGTGGTGTGTGCGTGTAATCCCAGCTACTCGGGAGGCTGAGGTGAGAGAATCGCTTGAACCAGGGAGACGGGGCTTTGCAGTGAGCTGTGATCGCACCACTGCATTCCAGTCAGGCTGGGCAACAGAGCGAGACTCTGTCTCAAAAAAAAAGAAAGAAAAGAAAAGAAAAAAGAAAAGAAAAGAACGCTGATTCTGGGACTGAGAAAAGTAACATAAAATCTTTCCTGGGAACAGTGACAAGGATATATTAGGAAGGTTCTTTTGAAAGAAAACTACAGCTAGTGGCAATGGACTCTCTCAAGGGTCTTTGGGAGATAGGAAAAAACAGTGTCAGTAACCATGGTGAAAACACACCTCTAAAACAAAGTAGGCACTTATTTTATCAATTCTTTCAACTCTGCTTTTCAAAGGTGTAACATCAAGTCTTGTTTGTTCACTCCCTCCTCTTGGACAAGTGGGTGGTAAACATGTTTCACATGACTTGGCTGGGGAGGCAGACACTCCCATGGGTCAAACACATACATGATTCTCAGAAAATAGTTCCAGTGGATCTGGTCAGATTTTAGTTTTCAGTTCCTGATAGCAAAATAATTCAGACAATGAACAAAAGGTAGGCTCTCCCTGTCCTCACCTCTCACTCCCCACCCAAAAATCACGCATACTTAACTGGTTCTAAAGCTGGCATCAAAAGG